GGAATTTCGGGATTTGGATTTGGCCTAAACCTTGAAAACCTTGGCTTTGGCCTGGCTTGATCTAGAATTTATTGGAAATTGAACAAAAGTAATTGGTTGGCTTGGTCTGGCCTGAAAATTTGGCTTCTTTGCCAACTCTAAACTCGATGCAACTTTGTTACTTTTGGAGTAAAGTTTTCCATTGATTGATATCATTTTGTAAGCTAATTGATACCATTTTGTAAGCTTCACTTTACACTCGCTAAACCTTTGTACTCTTGTACATACATCTCTTGACGTCCTGTACATATCTAAACTCAAGTTTCTTATTTCATTTTTTTCGGATTTAAAATACTTATCCAAATCTTCAATTCTTTTTCAAGAAAATCAATTTCCTCATAAAGCGGAACGGATTGGGCGAAGGTTAGCAAGAATATCTGAGGGTCAATCCAAGATGTAAATGGGAAATCCCGAATTTGAAAAAAATTTAAAGATAAGTAATGGGAATTGAAGAAAAAATTATGTCAAATCTTTCAAAATGAAAGAAAAAGGGAGAAGATTTGAGATCGAGAATGAATGGCATCAGAGAGACAATTTTATAAATGGTTATTGTGTGGAGGGGACAACGGGGAATCCCTGAAATAGAGCAAGTTTTTTCAGAGAACAAAAGATTTGAGGGGAATTTTGAAAACTTTTAGACCCTATACAATATTGGGTAAAAAGATTCTGCTATTGCAAGGAAGTTGACCACTTACACAACTTTAGTTAGCTGGACAACCGAGAATTTTTTTCTCTTTACTAAAATCCTGTTTTCTAGATTTAAGATTCGTTAAAGAAAGCTTTTATGAGTATTCTAATTTTGAATTTTTATTCAAAACGCAACAATGGAGTGTCGATGGGTTTATATAAATCTCCTTTTAGCTTTTTTTGGCTGAGAAATGTTGCTGATGGACGAGATATGAGCGAAATGAAAGGGAGATTTTTGGAGTCAAGAAAAGAATAAGCAAAACAAGAAAGCAACAAACAACAATAATGCTAAGTAGAACAGTTTCAATGAATTTAAACAACCTTTAAAATTTCGAAGAGAATATAGAGCTATGAACAAATTAGAATAAGTAATCAAGTATCAAAAAAAGAATAGAATTGAGGAAAATCTCAAACTCCAGTGACTTGGCAGGTTTTGTGACAAATAGGTCTATTAATCTGCTCACTATTCAGTTATAGATTCATTTAAAAATCCCATGGCTAAACAAATTCTATTAAGGATCATAGAAAAGTTCAATACAAAAGTAAAACCAAGAGAATTGATGTTGAACAAGAAATTGGATTCAGGATAAAAATTGATCTCACAATCAGTCAACTACTAAGAAAACAACAATCAACAATCATTGTAAATATCGCAGAAAAAGTTCTACTGAAACAAAATCATTAAACACAGGCAAAATGTTTCGAAATTGTCGATAACTAGCTTGGGATTTGTGTGAGTGAATGGGTGAATTGGCTTCATAGCCACCCCACTCTTCCCCAGGGTACCAATCGAATCGATAGGTTAAAAGAGACTCTTCTCCTTCTCTTTTTCCTTTCTTTTCCCCACCCATCAATCCCCTCAATGATCTCTTTGTCTCACAGTCATTTCTCTCCTTTCCCCTTTTCCTTTCAAGGGGTTCAATCCCCTATCCATCCTTCCCTTTTTGGCCTTTTCTTACCACAATCCATTCTCATTCTTCCTCCCTACATGGGGGTCAGGTCAGATGGCGCAATCTTGCCATTTTCCTTCTCTCACTACTCAAAAACCTGATACAGTGCCAAGGGATGGAAACAATCCATCTTCCTGATTAGGATGAAAATCGTTAGGATTTTGGTTATAAAAGGAAAATGGGTATTTCCTGTTAAAGTCACTACCATTTTTTTACTTTAAATGCGGTCCCAAATTTTCATTTACCGTCTCAAATTCCTCAAAATGTTCCAAGTCTTCGAAAAAGCCCAAATTCCTCAATACAATCTTTTTGGTAACGCTTTTATACATTTCAGACTACATTATTGATATACTAAACGATCAAATGATCCAGGGAATCTTATAAAAAAGAGATGAACATTTTAAAGATCCTGAATCGGTCCGAATGAAAATGGTCCGTCTCAAATTTCGTCTCAAATTCTCAAAGCTCAAATTCATCAATAGTCTTTTTGGTAACGCTTTTATCCATTTCAGACTTTGTTGTATGCCAAGTTTGTTGTAGATAGCATAGGTACAGGTAGTGTCTAGAACAGGAAAGTATCGGAAAACGATAGTCTAATGAAAAGAGTAGTAAGCTTGACTAAAAATCCTTAAATATTTTATTTTAAGCACTAAACCAAATTACCTAGCAATTGGCGGTAGACTTGTGTTTCGGTTGGCTTTTCTCGGTTCGGTTGAACCGAAAAGATGAGTTTTTCGGTTCGGTTTCGGTTCAACCGAAAAATATTTTTTTTACGGTTCGGTTAATCAAAACCGAAACCGAAACCGAACCGAAAAAGAACGCTTCCGGTTCAACCGAAACACAAGTCTAATTGGCAGAGTTTGATAAACAAGTTGAAAACAGCTGTATTTTGGGATATTAAGTCTAAATAAAAGAATTCAAAGACTCAAGTGATTAAAATAACACAAGTAAACAATTCTACTTCAGAATTAAAACAAGAAACTTTCTCAAAACTGAGCAGATCTATATGTCAAAGAATAGCCCTGGATCCATAGGAATTGAGGCACACCTTGTCCCTTCTTCCCTTCTTTCCCCTCTTTTTTCTCCTTTTCCCATTTCGCTACCGTTTCATGTGTCTCTTTCCATCAAAGAAGAATGAATTGAGGGAGAGCCTTTTCCTCCTCAAATCCATCCAACGGGAATTCTCCCCTTTTCTGCGATGAGTCTTCCCTTCTCCACCTTTTCCCACAAAACGGGTCACTTCACTGTGTTTGGTGAACAATCTTCATCCATCCCTGAGAACCTCAACACCAAATTGAGCTCTGAAGAAAGCGGGTGTTAAGAATAATGACAAGAACAAGTTCAGTTCAAGTTCTGAGCTCTTTTAAACTTTAAAACTTTACCTTTAGCAACAACATCATCACATCAACATTAAATTCTTTAGAGTTGAATTGAATTTTCCAAAGATTTCCTTATTTTTCTCTTAGTAAGTGTTCTTGTTAAGTAAAAAGAGAACTTTAATCATTTATCAGAACACTAATAAAAAAGTTGAAGAGAAACCCGAAATTTGAGCAGGTTGGGGCAGAAATTATTGTATTGTTAACGAAAATTTTAAGTGTTATATAGGGCGCGGCATAATCATTGCTACACAGTATTTCAATCATAACTCATCAACCGTATTACTAGTTTGTTTATTTCTTCTTTTAAAATAAAATTTAGACTTATTTCTACAGTAACTTTTATAGACTTGCTTAGAAATTGTTTAGTAAATTTTCTATGGCGTCTCAAAGTTAGCAATTGCTGATTCTTGGCGGCCAGCCTACATCGGCCATTTTTGTAAACATTTTTGCCTTCTTTAAAATTTATTTTTATTGGGTTTATGTTTTAGAGTTTCTTAAAAGGTTTTCAAATTTTTGGGGGTTTCTTTTTTTAAAAATTGGCCGATGTAGGCTGGTCGCAAGAGATCAGCAATTGCTAACTTTGAGACCCGGTAGAAAATTCATCAAACAATTTTTAAGAAAGCCTGTAAAACTAGAAATAAGAAATAAGCCTAAATTTCATTTTAAAAGCGAAATAAACAAATTAGTAATAGGGGCGATGAGTTATGATTGAAATACTGTGTAGCTATAATTTTGCCGCACCCTGGGGAGTGGGACAAATGCGACCTTTTTTTTGCGCACCCGGCCATTTGCGCACCCGGCCATTTGCGCACCTTTTTTTCCGCACCTGGCCCATTAGCGCACCTTTTTTCGCGTTTTAAAAAAGCTCTAAAAAGCTAATATTAACCAATTTCTATTCCAAAAGTTGTTTTTCTAGGTAATTTGAGGGTGTAGAATCGAAATTTTGACATAACAGAGCGTGTGGAATCAATTTGAAAGACAAAACGGGTAGGTCAAATTACAGAAAATGGTCGATTTTTCTCTTTGTATAACTCCGTCCGTTCGCTTCCACAAGCTCTGATATGCCAAAATTTCGATTCTACGCCCTAAAATTACCTAGAAAAACAACTTTTGGAATAGAAATTGGTTAATATTCGCTTTTAGAGCTTTTTTAAAACGCGAAAAAGGGTGCGCTAATGGGCCAAGTGCGGAAAAAAAGGTGCGCAAATGGCCGGGTGCGCAAAAAAAAAGGTCGCATTTGTCCCACTCCCGCACCCTGTATAAGGTTTGAGCACAGCAGGAAAAAATGTATGTAAAACAATAAAAGGGAAGGCCTGCCAACCTTATAAACCTACCGAAATTGGGGCCAAATTTTGTACGCCAAATATCTCGCGTTACAGAGCTCTTCTGGAAAAGTTAGAACCGGATTCGGAATCAGCGTAAAAAAAACCTATCAGATAGGATTGGTCTCGTTCGAAAAGCCCACCTTAACTTGACAACATTCCCTAGTTAGTAATCTTCTTGCTGAATTCAAAAATCTTTCCAGAAACTTCACCCACTTTACTCACATGAAACAATTGGCGAAATCGATCAAATTCACAAATGTGACAAACGCGTATCCATTGATGATCGTGGTGAAGAATCCGAGATGGAGTCAATGGTTGACGAAACAGGAAACCGAATTTGATTACTATTTGAAAAGATTAGTTAAAAAAATCAGTATCGAGCCAGTTTATCTTAAAAGCCAAAAATCAATGCCACTTAAATCTTAAAAGCCGTTTTTCAGTCACGATCTCACCAGTGATTGACTCGAGTACCATGTGGATCGCACAAAAATCCACAATCCCACTCAGCTCTATCTATTTTTTTGTCATAAATATTTGTATTTTTCTACGCAAAGCAACGAGTACCTAGACAAAAAGAGAAATGATTCAAAAAATTAAAACCTCGGGAATCAAAAATGCTACCACAAGTTTATTGTTACATTCGTTTTTATTTTCACGGTCATCTCGTAGGGGATTTTGTGTTGATCGATAAAAAAGCGAAGCCCCGAGATCGTTTCGATGTCCTTTACCCGAGCCGTGTAGGCGAATAAGAGCTCATCGGGGGGCTAAAGCGAAAAAAGTACTGTACATTGCAAGCTACAACACTATTGATTCATAATTGCACCTACCTAACCACTATCAAAAGTCCATTAGCAGATAAAACCCACCAAACAATTTCGATCCGCGAACTTCATCGGCACTAAGAAAGCCAAAGTACGCGTTTGAGTTGAATCTAATTAAAGATGTTTTTTTCAATACAAACATCAAAAAATACCTTCACAATGCCAACGATCGTCATCCCATTTCCCATCCTCACACCGATGCAGAACCCGATAAAGATAACGATCACCGTGACTAAAATTTAATTTTATACTGAATTTTGATTGATTAGATGATTGTGGAAGTGACAAAGAACAAAAACACACCTGTCCACCGTTCCAGTGATTACACCCATTTTCGCAAATCTCTCTCGATACTCGCGGGTTTTTTGTTGTAATGGAAGCCAAAATTTGTCGCGAAACTCGTTCGTCATCGGTTCGTTGAAAAGTAGCACATCTAAAAGCAATAGAATCTCGAGTACAACACTCCAGTTTGCCTTTTAGCCAAAGTAATAGTTTTAAATATGCTTTTGAATCAATAAAATAATTTTAAAGACATAAATCTATCTCGATAACTTGATTCTTCTTGATTTGCCACGGTGGCGCTTCTTTCGATCAAAGCAACTCCTCCTAAAATTCATCTACATCACCTAATCTCAACAAAGCGCAACCTGTTTCTGTTGACACTCGATGAACATCACTTTCAATTTCCTCAAAACAAACCATTTCTTCAGAATCTTGGAATTTGATTGGGAATTTTTCTTCGAATACACCCTAAAAAACTAATTGAATACAAAATATTTCTACAAGCTACCAAAATATGTTGTTTAGCTTGTTCAAAGAGACTCGCTTGTTCCAGAGGTGAGGAGCATTTCCTAAAAAGTGATCATGAAAAAACACAGAACAAAGTCTACTGTATCGGTCGATTGTTCTCATAGAAAGGATCCATTCTCTGCTTCTTGGGAAATTGCAGTGCCGACCATAAAGCCCCAAGTGTGCCATTATTCTGTGGAATCTCCACGCCAAGAAGTTCTAAAGCAAAATATTCTTATTTAATCACAGGTACTTACTCCGTGATAAAAGTAAAACCAACCGGCAAAAAGGTTGAACAGCTCAACATTTTGAAACGGTGAGATGACGGTTTTTTTCTTGAAAGCGGGACCCATCGCGAAGAATATCGTTTGCATCTAAAGAATTGTACTATTTTGCAGAAATAAAAAATGTTACTTCATGAATCGTGTAGTCCCACCCGTGATTGCTTCCCAAATTTTGAAGCTTCATTATCTCTTCAGAGTTTCTTCTAAATGTCCTCCAATTGTGTTTCAAGATCACACGCTTTAAACAGCTACATTGTCAAACTTACTTGCAAACAAAGCGTTATTACGCGGTATTACGATAGAATTATTCAATAACTACTTTTTTCTTGGATAAGATTCACAAATACCTGAACTATTTATTTTAAACTAAGAAAAGAACTCACAAAATCGTTCCCGGTTCAGCCAACAATAGCAAATCTCCCGCTCTTTTCGTAACCGCATAGTGGAGTCTAAAATTGACCAAAATTTTGCGAATGATTTCAAAAATTCAACCTCGGTGGAAGTGTTCGTCTTGAAAATGTTCGAAATCCATTATTCTGTGAATCACACGGTAGATCACGGAGAAACTTGGCGGTTTTTGTTTCCTCTAAAAACGTATGCATCATTTTCTTCACTTATATTAGCTTTTTGACAAGTAAAACCAGTACCATTTTCGTGCACGCGTGTCACCACTCCCGTTATCACAAAATCGTTTTGCGGTAGTCCGAATTTGGATAAATTCACGACTCTGTCCACATTCATAAAACCTAAAAATATTAACTCTAATGAACGAAAAAAAACCGTATTGGAACAATTACAACATATTAAAATTTTGCTACCATGATCCGACAGAACGATCACATTTGTGCACTCAAGTTTCTCCAGTCGCTTCAGCGTCGCGAAAAATCGCTGCAAATTTATGTCCAATCGATGCAAAATTAGGTCAATCTAAATGAGAATTAAGTTACCAAATTCACCAATAAATTTATGCTCACTTTTGACGAATTTTCTCTTGTTCCGTGTCTCGTGTTATCCGGCTCGTCCAAATACACCAAAATGAGATCCGATGAAGATTTATCGTCCTTTTGAATTTGCTCGATCACCTAAAATGTTAATGTCTCAAGATTTACTTTCAAACATACTACCGACCTTGTCAAAGACAGCTCGATTGCTCAGATGATCATGAAAAGGATCGAGTGGATCGGGTTTGTTATCTAAACAAATTTTTATTAGCATTCACTAAATATCATGTTCAGATGCTATTAACAGCTGAACTAAACAAATAAAAGCCCAGCATAACGTTTAAACCCACCCGGATAGTTTACACATCCTGGGAACTGAAAACACGCGACTCGGCCACCATTTAGTCGATTGAACAGCGCCCAAATCTCAAAAATGATTCCGATATTGAACCTAGTGTTTTCAGCGTTTAAAAGAATTACCGGCTCTCCATTGTACTTGTAAAAGGCACTCTGATCAGCGTCTCTAACATTTGTCGGTGTGTCGTTTATTGAAGAATCATAGACCTAAATGTTAAGGATGAAGCTAATTAACATTTCAGGAAATAAACATCCAACCCTTGCATCGACAATTCCATGAAATCCTGGGTAGAGACCGGTGGCTACCGTGTAGTGATTGGGAAAGGTTTTGGATTGAAATGAGGGCAACATGTACTAGAAAGATACACTTTGTGCATAACATTCAAATTTCTACCTCTGCCTTCACTCCATTTTCGGCCATGAAATCGAAACTTTTCATCATCTTGCGATTCAAATACGCGCGAGCAAATCCGTCAAACGAAAAGATCACCAACGGGGCGGGACCGGGTCTAAACGATCAGTGTTTCTTATTGATCTCAAAAATGTAAACTCACTTGCATTTTTTATCGTTTACGGTTAAGGTTCGATCCTCTTGAAAAACGTCTGGTGTATGTAAACCTGAAAAGAAGCAATAACATAGTAAACGATTGATACTTGCTAGAGATTAATACTCGAAAAATCTTATAAGTAATTTTTAAACTAACCAAATCCAGAAAGGCCACCAAAGAAGGCCGCTGCTGAAAGAGCGCCTAAAACGATGACCGACAAAATGCCCGCAGAGACGATTGCCTAAAATATTCAGTCAAAATGGGAAGAGATCTACACTTCTACTACGTTAATACCCAAAAATAAGCTACAATCAATTTATCGGTTTTAACATTAAACTTTGGAGCGATAAGCTCTAAAGTTTTACCCGCAAAATTTGGCGAAAGAAAAATGCATGTGCATTCCCCACCAATTTCCCAAACTTCCGGAACCCAAAAGATAAAAAAACCCACACTTCGATATCCGCATTTATTTCTCCCTTGTCGTTGCACTACTAAATTAAGCCAATTATTTGAAGAACCAAAAGTGGTATACCTTTCTGCTGTTGTTGTCCGTTTTGAAATGACGATTCCGACGAGTTAAACCTGAATGAAAGAAAGTTTTTAAAACTTCAAAACAAAATCACCAATATTTTAGAAAAGCGAGAGAAATCATCAAATGAAAATTTCTACTTTTTGTTATATAGTTTAAAATTTTAAAATTTTAAAATCCATCAATACAAATTTCGTAAATGCTTGTGTTAAGTTGTGAAAGCAAAAACTTGCCCAAAAGTCCCGTATCTCAATGGCATTCGATCAAATTTTCATATTGAAACGCGGAATTTATAAAAGTCCTGTATAAAACAAAAAGTTGACCTGAAAAAGGGACATATCACAGGTGTCTCTTATCAATTATGCGTCGTGAGAGTTCCTCTTTGGTATTCCATTTCATTTGATTAAGGAGATCTTTGCCCGAATCTCTTAATTATCTTCTACTCTTTTTACAAGTCTTTCAGAAATTTTCTTGATTGATGATGACGATAATTGCTGAAGTTGGTTTGTGAACTAACAAAAGCAATAGCATTCGATGTCGAAATTTTTTTCAGGTTTGAGAATGAGGCAAATTGCAACGTGGTCGAAGAAGATTTTTATGGCATATTTAAGATGATATAGAAGAAGATATGGCAAATTTATCCAACACCAACAATATCGCTAGCTTTTTACAAAAGCTACACAGCATGGGACGATCTGACGGTTAATTTTCTAAAAGTTACCAGCCTCGTATGATTCTAAACTAAAAGTGGCAGGTTTTATTTGTCTTTAAAATTCATTTGTTAAAACAAAACTATGAGAAAAGTCCTTTTGCAATGCCACTTTTGTCAAAAAGTAAGTCACAAGTCATACTTCTTTCACAATTTATCTTACCGTATCGTAGTGCTGAAGTTCATGTGCTATAGCCTTAAAATCCCCTTTCCAAAGCACCCAAATCCCGCCACGAATCCCCTCTTACTGTCGAGGCGAAATATCAACATGAGGGTTATTAGTTACGTTGAACCAAAGTCGATGGGGTAATTAAAAACAATATTTTGCTTACAAATCTGTTAAAACATTTTTTTCACCTAACTTGTCTACATTTTTCTAATCAAAAATTTTAGATGCCACCGCGAACGGCAGCCGACAAGAAAAAGGCGGAGCAGGACTGGTTGCAGAGTTGGTTGAATAATTAACTTAAAATATATAAAATTATTGAAAAATTTCATGAAATGCAAGTTAAAACTATTAATTTCATCATCAGAAATTTTTCAGATCTTGTCGTTGATCTATTACGTGAAGAGGAGAACAAATTCTGCGCTGATTGCGAGGCAAAACAACCGAGATGGGCCTCGTGGAACCTTGGAAGTAAAAATTTAAATTCTAAAACAATATAATAATGGAATCTCTAAGTTTTTGCAATAAATTATATCTATAGATCTGAAAAAATCGATTTTCAGTCTTCATCTGTATCAAATGCGCGGCCGTGCATCGAAATCTTGGTGTCCACATTTCGAGGGTGAGTTGCTGAAACTTTGATAATCTGTCAACCTTTATAAAATTCTAAAATTCTAATATCAAGCTACAAAATATATTCGATTCCTTTAGAAATAAAATCCAATATCTTTTTCTAGGTTAAATCCGTGACACTGGACACGTGGACTCCTGAGCAAGTACAACATATGAGACAAATCGGGAATGCTGTGGTAAGCTTGGAGTTTTCAAAAATATGTATATTTACCATAAGAAGTACCCTCTGATTGATACAATTTATAAAAATCAATCGATTTCAGGCAAAAGCTGCTTATGAAGCTGACTTACCCGAGAATTTTCGACGTCCCACAACAGATCAATCGGTGGAAGCGTTCATTCGAGGGAAATATGAGCACAAGAGGTATTGGCTGAATATTTAAAGAATTAAAAACCCTCATTGTATCATTTTTTTATCTTTTCTAGGTACATGGACAAAAACTGGAAACCCCCGGTGATCGACGTGAGCCAATTGCCAAAACTGGGCGAGAAAATGGAGAGACGAATGCCGAAAATTGGTAAGCAGTAACAATTACCGTTTCTTTATCTAACTGTCAATTCCACTTTGGGGAATTGACAGTTAGATATTTCAGTTGGATGTCATTTCTATACGGGCTGAGAGGCAGTGGGCGGGGCTTCCAAAATGCCTCTGTCACGTTGCCAAAAAAGGTTCCTAGGGTTTTTGAGTACGCTGATTCGATTAGTGATATTTTCAGCACCTGTTTGCGACTTATTTTTTTTCTTGTTTCCCTATGTTTTCTTGCTTGCCTACATTTCTCATTTTCTTTTTTAGATGGCGGGAATAGCTGTAGCTAATAAGTTGAACCTTAAGTCGCTTAATCTTTTTATTGAGTGACCAAAGCTCAAAGCCAAGATCGATGATGAGTTTGACGAGTTGCTATCGAAGCGGGGACTGCCCCGGGCGAACCGGAAATGTCTCAATTGTCAAGAACCAATGCGTCATAGTAAATAAGCCCAAGGAATCAAACGGTATCAAGGGGGAGCTTTGGGACGACCATTACTTTGAAGCGCTTTGGAAATGACAGCATAACTCCAATGTTACATGTTTACAGTTAATGTTTTTGGGAAGAGGTAAAATATTACTTTTTTAAAATTGCATATTGTTGCTCTACTTTTCAATCTGTTGTTGGTTTATAAAAAAATTCTAAAAACAAGAAAAAATAAATTGCAAACAGGTGCTGAATCAGCGTACCCGAAAACCCTAGGAACGCTTTTTTGGCAACGTGCCAGAGGCATTTTGGAAGCCCTGGCCCCCAACCCGTATAGCCCCCATTTTGTTCCAGAAATCCACAGCCAAGCCCCAAGTCAACGAGAGAGCCGAATTGAACCGATCGGAGGACATAAGCAACAGCCACAAGTCACCTCAAACAATTCATCTCAACTACTCGATTTCTCGAGTTCATCAACAGCTACGGTATAAAGATAAGGCAACAGTTCAATTTTTTAGTTGAAAGTGATACAATCTTACAATGAGGTTTTGAAAGGTTAAGCAACTAACAATTTCCAGAACCTCGGCAGTTTACTCGATTTCTCCGATTCGTCAACAACAACTGTGGCAAAAAGCGATTCCCAAGATTTGGATGATATCTTTGGATCGATGGTTTCTGCGCCTCCACCTGTTTCTTCTCAACCAGTGCAACAACCAACTCATCAGCCAATCCACCAACCATCTCCATCTCCACAAATCCCTCAATCTGAACATGTCATTACACAGGTTAGTGAGGTTTCCAGTTAACTTTATAACAATTGGTTTCAGGACAACGCCTCAACAATCTCTCTAGCTGGAGATCTCTCCGGATTGAGTTTGAACTCGGAACCACCAAAAAAGAGCAATAGTGACATTTTGGCGTTGTTTGCAACCACACCACAGGTTTCTCAATGAAATTGAATACTCATTTAAAATTCTTCATTTCATTTCTAGAAACCCCTTGTCACTAAATCGACCTCGAATCTGACTCATCAGCCACAGGGAGATTTTGGCGTGTTTGGAGGAGCGGTTTGTATTTGAAGAATGAAATAACGATAAGTATTTAGAATTACAATATGCTAGCTACTAAACAATAGGTTTTAATAGTCTAGATTAAGATTAAGAATTCCAGGCTCAAGGTGGGAATTGGTTCCCGACATTTGGCGGTCAACCCCAGCCACACAGCATTGCCGGCACTCCGCACGGCACTCAGCCTCATATGGCTTTTCAACAAGGAATTAGTGGGTTTTTAGATTACGGTAGAAATAGATTAAAAATAGATTATCTGAGTCTTAAAACTTTATTTCAGTTCCACCCGGTCTCAACACTCCACAATTTTCCGGTAATCAAGCAACCACTTTCGCCGCCGCGTCTCCATTCGCCACACCAAATAACTCAATGGGTAAGTTGAAGTACAATAATCAAATTCTTTTACTCAATTCCTCACACTATAAGTAAATCTTAAAGAAATTAGATTAGTACACGTAATTTAAAAAGCAATTAGGCTGGTGTTGTTGGTTTGCAACCAATATATTCTAATGTATGTAAGTTTAACGTACTTTAACAGTTATTATACTCATTTTTGTTCGTATTTGCTATTCAGCACTAGATTAAGACTAGAAATCTTTTGTTAACTCAAATATAAATCATTGCAAAACTTGTTTGTTTCAAGATTTTGTACTTTGAGGTCATGTGGATAATAGAGACTCTTTGGGGAAAAGAAATCAAAAGGTTGACGAATCAAATGAAACCTTATATCAATTGTTAAGTCAAAAATACAATTTCTTGCAAAATTTCCATTTCCAGATTCATTTTCCGCTTTCTCATCACCACCCGCTCAACATTCGACCGCTCCGCCAAGCAACTCGACCGCCCAAATGAATCTCGATCAGTTATTTTCTTAGGTTTTTTTCTGACAGCAGTCTTTTTGGTTAAAATGTTTTCTAAAAGGTGCCTTAGAAAAGCTACCGTATCCCCTTGACTGTCTTGCTAAATAAGCCTCTGTAAGTCCAACAAGTGAAAGTAAACAGACTCATTTTAATCTACTCTAACTTTTTGGGAGTATGGTAACGGAAACATTGCACCATTTCCTTGAGTATAGAAACTAAGGTGTACTCAGATGTACTATAGCTCGAGTCCTGTAATTTAAGTTTAGTCTAGTTTGAGTACGGTAGCTTTTTCTAAACGCACGTTTTGGAAAATGCTTTGAGATTATATTTTTCCCATTATCTCTAGCAGATCTGTAGTGTTTCGGGGCAATATTAAGAATTTCAAAAGAATTCATCCATATCTCTTTCATTCGGCATCTCGTGCTATACTTTAATACCCTTTGCAGCTTTAGAAACTTGGCTTTAGCCCTAGTCTTTTCCCAAATACTTAAAGTGTTCTGTGATCAATGTGATGTGTTTTTCAATGTTATAAGTGAGCATAACCGTGTTTGTGATTAAGAAAACAATCGAGTCATTCCTTTTAAACATAATTGTTGAATTGTGGAAGAAATAATACATGCAGATTAGTTAATGAGCTCTTTATTCAGTTGTCTTCAGAAAATAAAAAAAGTTGAGTTGAGCTTGGGAATACTTTTGAGTCGCTAGAGACCATAAGGAAGTGTTTACTGAATTTGTCAAAGTAACTTTTTTCGGAGTCCAATAGAAATCTTTTAATAGAAAAATAGCAATCAGCACATATCATAAAAAGTTCATTACTAACAAAAACAGCTCAATACAAATAAGCAAGTACCGCTAATTCTTGCAAGAATATTGGATTGACTATGGAACATTATAAAGCCAAAGGGATTACCTAGAAATTGTTTTAACGACAATACAGATAGAATTATTCTCAGTCATAACCGATGATCAATAAAGGTTTATATTTGTAATTGTTCTTCTCTATAGTGATGAGGGGTCAGGATTCGGCACATTTTCAGGGAAAATTTGCTCATCCAATTGAATGCTAAAATCCGGGTTAAAAACAACCGAAGCACAATTTTCCCATAAATAATTGGGCACTGGTGAATAGTTTGGGTTTGGTTTGGGTACAGGCTTGGATCCAGAAAAAAAGCACTGATCAGCCAAATCCAATTCTGCAAATTTCTGCTCATCAATTGATTCTTCTAACGCTTTGTCATCTTCCCTTTTCCATATCATCGCTCCAGACTCGCCGACTCGAGATTCAGCCAAATCATAATTTGGTTCCAAGAATTTTGCCTGAGAATCAATGCCGTAGTTTATTAATGGGTTTCATTGTACATCAGACCAACCTCGAATAAATCATCGTCAAACATTCCGAAAAACTGGTTCATCGCACTTTCTACAACCTGAGTGCTGTTTTCTTTCTCCTCCTCGACCTCATCCTCACTATCAGGCTTCCCGAGTTCATGAGACTCTTGAAGTTTCTTCATCTAAAAATCTTTTTCAATCATTGAAACTTGCAAATGATTACAAGCTTATTGATTTGGTCCTCAAATTTTTGACTTTCATCAGCCATTTGCTTTTGTTGCTTTATCAGCATATCGGTCTAAATTTTGTTAATTATTCGAATCTGTAACCGATTACAATCAAAGTCAATTGATCTCCTGTATTCTTATTTTGAACGGCCATCTGCTCTTTTTGGTTTGTCAGTTCGGTTTTCAACTCTTTCTAAAACGTTCGCATTGTTTTAAAATGCATCCAATCTTACTCACCACTTCTTTTTGCAAATCAAGAGTCATTTTTTCGTTGTTCATCACGTGTTTCTTTATTGGATCCTCCAAAAAGAAGTTATCTTCCTAAAATCATAATTTTTTTCTGCTTTTTGAAATTTGTGCACCTGTAACTTCTTGAGTTTGTTCGCTTCCTTTTTCCGCCTTTTTCCGCCATCTTTATCATCATCAGGTGGTTGATGTCTTCGATCAGCCTCCTGCGGGAAAAATTTACCTTTTCAGCTTTATAACAAACCGTTTGATTTTCATTGCTTCCAGAACAGCAAGAACAGCAAGAACAACAAGAGAAATCCCAGCCAAAGTAAGTACAAACACTAACAAATAAATGAATACATCAAACTTTGTTAGTCTTACTTACAACTTATTTCGTTTACGATACAAAGAACCTACGCTTCCCTTTGAAGTTTCCAAAATGATTTGAATGGCCAATCCTCGTGATTTACACTCACCCAATGACGATATTTTTGGCTTTTCATGATGTTTTCACTCAATGTCGCTTGCATCAAAAGGCAATCAGCCTGAACTTCCCAATTACCTATTCTTAGGATAATTTACCTCAATGGCAAGCTCTTCAAGTTTTGCTTCTTTCATGATCTCTTCAATGTTCCCAACTGCAACACCAATGAAAAGATTGTGCACAAGAATGACAATGACGAAGACGAAAACGAAGAAAATCACCATTGTGGAGTATTTGGTACTGGGACTGCTGAAATTTTTTTGGGCAATGGACAAAATTTTGAGAAGGATTGAGATTTAAACAACAAACAAACTTTTCAAAATGATCCGTCTCATCGAAAAATATACCCGAGTAATCAATTTCCCCAGTGGACATCATAAAAGTCTTGAAAAATGAATAATCCCATCGAGAAAAGTCCTCCTAAATTTCGATTTTCATTGAAAATACACATTTTTCAACCTTTTTATGGATTAACATCAAGAAGCTGAAAGAAAAAGCCATGATGAAGAGAATAAACGTTGCCGCGATTTTCACAAATGATTTCCCAATTTTTATGAACATCACGATGAAAAGTCCCAAATATTTCCATTTGCTCAATAGCATTAGCTAAAGAAAAGTCTTAGAAAACTAGATATTCCGGTACCAGATTGAACCAAGCGATGACAAAAACGAAGGACGCCAAGATCCAAAATCCATCGCTGAGATCATATTTGAAGTAAAGCTAAACCCCACACGTGTAAACGTAAATCTCTTAGAAAGTGTGAAAGCTTTAGATTACCGCTGGAGTCCTCCACAAAATCGTGCCCACCGACAAGAAATAGACCACCAATTCACCGAGATTGCCCCAATTTTCCCCTGAAATCAACAAAATAAGTCAAAAACATCCCAAGCGAACGTCTAGGCGTCAAGTTTTTTTTTCTTGAGGACCGTAGCTTTTGAGCACTTTGAGGAAATTCAAAAATCATTTGCAAACTTCTTTTGAACAATGACGCTACCGTAACCCTCGTTCAAGTGCCTAGGCTACCGTAACCTTAACCCAACTAGCTAGTTTACCGTTTTACCGTTGCGGAATTGATCCTCAAAGTTTCAAACCTATAGTATTAGGATTTGGGTTTGGTTGCGGTAGCCTAGTCACTTGAATGAGGGTTACGGTAGCGTCAGTGTTCGAAAAAAGTTCGCCAGTAGCAAATCTGGCGTAATAATGACTTACAACTTATGTAGGCTTTGCGGTTGAGTTGTCGGAATTGATACCACTAAAATTTTGAAACCATAAACTCTCAGCTCGCTGCCTTAACTTACTTCTTTGTAGAGCAAAAGGCCGAGAAAGATTGAAACACCTGCAATTGCCACGCAATCAATGCTGAGATTATTTGCAACTTCCTGAAAAGGTGTATTTTTTAACAATAATGTTTTGGCCAATGATTTGTACCAGGAGAAACAAGATGACAAGAAAATCGAGAGACAAGCGGCGCAACTCAGATCGCGTTATTCGCACGGTTTAACTTCTGTTTAAGTAAAACAGTAGTTTAAAAGGATGCAAATTTGTCAAAAAATCCAGTCAAAATTCGGGAAAAAGTTGACCCCAAAAATTTGGGCATAGTCACGCCCAGAAAAACGGGAAAGCTCAGTCTCTCATCGCTCCTTCGCTCCTTACAAGGGAATAGTACTGGGTCACCGTGGTTTTTATAAATGAGGATAAAATTTGTATTTTTGTATATGTCGCAGCCGCTCGTGATTTTCAGCCGCTTGTGATTGAATCACCATCGGCTAGCCGATGGTGATTGAAAGTTTTTTAATCGCATTTGGAATACAATGCAGATTTATCTCGCATACAAAGAAAAAAGTTAGGTTAATCGGACCAAATATTTTAGCACCTCAGGAGGTAAGTTCTGTTTGGTAACCTCAGGAGGTAACTTCAAGTCGGTGTTCTGAACCGTAGATACGACAAAATGAACATCTCGGTAATGCTGACACAACGATCTGACGGAAAGAAACTAAGACAATTTGTGGTGATGCCGAGAAAAACGTTGGATAAACAGATTGAATCAAAATTTCAAGCGAACTTATTGCTTTGTCGAAAAGAAAAAAAAAATAAATGCTTCGACAACGACATCACAAAGGAATTCGTGGAGAAAACTTTCAAAGGGCCTTGATTCTTCAAAAAACGAGACTGATCTGGAACCAACATGCAACTCACAAAAGTGACAGCACAAAGGGGCAATATCAATTTGGATTGTGTCTACGTGCCCAGAGGAACGACTAAGTACGTGCAATCTGCTGATGTTTCTTGGAATGCACCGCTCAAAGCAAAGATCCGACAACAGCATGAGATTTGGATTTTGACATCGGCTCCGGATTTGACAAGATCACAAAAAGATGGGACAGGTGGTGACAATCCAAAGCGTCCTTCTTTGGACACTTACTTGGGTTGGTTTGGGAATGCGTGGGATCAAATCATCGAAGAAACTATTCGGAAATCTTTTAAAACCTGCGAAATTGACATTGCCTCAAACGGAGATGAGGACCACTTGATCCACGGAGCATGCCATGTTGAGGGGGGCTTTTTTTGCTTTCGAAAACACTTTTTCTGGGATAGTTTTATGCGTAGATTCCGAAAAACACAACGGAGAGCTTGAGAAAAGGTGTTTTAAGCCAATTTTCGGGGCTACAAAGTGCGCGCTCATACATTGTGATGATAGGGATATATGTGTTACGTCCGAATCCGACCAAGGCGTCCGGATCTGATCCGGACGTCCGAACCCGGCCGTTGATTATCTTGTGGTCGGCTTCGAACGTCCTAATCCGACCACAATCCGATAAATGCCAATTGGTCTCGCCTGATTTATCGAATTTTTTATAATTTTTCAACTATGGTAGTTTCACCCACGCAAAATTTAAGTTAAGAAATTTAAGTAATATGGTTTGTGAATTTCCAATAACTTTTTTAAAATATTGCGCGTCTTCGCCCATGTTTGCTAAAAAAATGTTCATTCCACCCTGAACCACCGCGTTTGTCAAAAATTGAGAGATTTAAAAAAAATTGTTGCTCATCTTCTTGGTAGACATGTAGTAGCTGATGTTTATAATTAAACTTTAATGTTTTTTCTTTTCAGGTCATTGGTCTTCAGAATGATAGCTTTTAAGGATCGATTCGAGAAATTCGTACAAGAGCGACACAGTCGAGCTTTCCCGACTAATGCAGGTTATGTAAAGAGGATCGAAACACTTCAATCAATATCAGTCAATTGGAAATTAACTGAAGAACGAAATCTTTACCGGCGTTTCTCTTTATTCAACAAAAACGGGACAATAATTCTTCTGCACCATGGTGATGGAGCCAAGAAAAACGAGAAAAACGAGAAAAACGAAAGTCATCAAGCGTGAGGACCTCTATGAATTGCTTCGACAAAAACATTCAACACTTGGACACGCTGGAATCGGCTTAATGTGGAAAGCCCTCCAAAATGATTATGGGATATCGAAAAAAGTACTGAAGATTTTCGTGGATCAATGCGAGGAATGTCAATTGAAAAAGAAGCTTCCAAAGAAAGGAATAGTTGTGAAGCCGATCATTTCTAACCACCAAAACCAGCGGTGTCAAGTTGATTTGATCGACATGCAAAGTGCTCCAGATGGCGATTACAAGTTTATTTTCGTTTACCAGGTAGATTATTTTTTTGGGTTTTTCAAGTTTAGCCTTGTTTATTTATGTTAATACTTCTTATTTTTGGGTCACCTCACAAAATTCGTCTCGTTGAGGGCTCTGAAGACAAAAACGGCAAAAGAAGTAGTCGACAACATCGTATCGATTTTTGGAACCTTTGGGGCTCCACAAATTCTTCAGACAGGTAAAAAAATAAATCGGAATTTTTCATAAAATGTATTGCGTTTTTGCATTTTTTGATGGAGCTATAGGAGGGGGAGGGGGTGGGTAAAATAAAAACTATAGCACCGTTTTTATTTTTGCTTTTAGACAATGGCAGAGAGTTTGCAAATAAACTCTTGGAAGAAGCCGTCGCTCAATGGGCTGGTTGCAAGATCCTTCACGGGAAACCGCGCCATTCGCAGTCACAAGGAAGTGTAGAGCGAGCAAACGCGGATATCGAGGTTAGTTTGGCTGCTCATAAAAATACTTGTGATCGTTTAGGATATCTTGAGCGTTCATCAAAGAGAAACAAAAACTACCGAGTGGGCCCGATTTTTGCCCTTGATTCAATATCGTAAAAACATCAGGTAACTTTAATTTTTTTGGAAATTTACATTTTGTCGATAGATTTCATTCCGGTATTAGACGTAGCCCATATGTTGCAATGTTTAGACGAGACTCTGAAAATGCTACAGCGATTACTAAGGAAGCAGTAAAGTTTGAAATATTTGTAGATCTGGAATATTTGAAATAAACTGTGTGGCTTAAGTTTTGTCAGACGACGACGAAATCCAGCAAACAAGTGTCTACGAGGAGGAGGAGGAGAAAACGCTTCAGGTTAATTTAAATCTTGATTTTTTTTATTTATTTTAGGAAGATAATCCTACTCGTTACGCCGATCTACGACCTGTAAGCTTCATGGATTCAATTGGGAGTGGTGTTAAGGTATAAATTATGTTTTAAATACATAAAAATAACGTTATTGTTTAGAAATTTCCTGAATTCGCAAATCTGGGGAATAATGACGCCGACTTTCAACTTGGGATTGTTGGTCCAGTGCTTGGGTTGCTTTTTAAAATATTTACTAAACATTATTTGGCTTTAGGTGTTCAAAAAGATGAGGAGCAAGCGGCAATCGATTGTCTACACGATTTGATTATGATGGAAAGACATGGAGCTCATTCTGCTCAAAAGAATCAGGCACGAAAGATGCTTCGCGCCAGTGAACAAAGGTACTTTTGCGTTTTCAATGTTTTCATTATGATTACTTTTAGATTTGCACCAATTGATGTTGAACAAAATGTTTTGATGCCAATTCCTTGTGTCGATCGACCCAAGATTGGACCACGAAATTTGATGGGAGTCGTCACAGGTACTCTTAAATTTATTTCTAAATGTAAAAAGAAATTCTAGCTGTAACTAATGGTTTTTACTCGATCGGGACACAAAATGGGCATCTTCGGCAAACATTCACTAGGAATCAACTGGCTCCATGTGGAGCTGAATTCTTCTCGATCAATTCAATTTCGGACTGGGAGACATCGTTGAGAACTGCTGTTGGGGCAGCATCGATCTCTGGGAGCCAAGCCAAGGTAAGCACATTTATTTGCACTTATAATCTTTCTTGTTAATCTTTCTTATTTCTTTTTACAAATTCAAATGTTTTTACCTCAGCTAAAATATTATAATTTTAGGTCACGCTCATTGCTTGTGCCTGAGCGGATGTACGACAAATCGATGTGCTTGTCGAAAGAAGAGTCGACTTTGCAACTCGAGATGCCACCATGCAAGAAGTTGTACTAACAAGTGATCTTTTTGTTTCTTGTTTTGGCTCTTTTCAATTTCAGAATGACGCTTTTAGTAACATGCATTATGGGCGTAGTAAAAAGAGCTTTTGTTTAATTTGATTGTTGTTTGACTTTGTTTTTCATTTAGTTTGTTTGTTGTATCTTGAAATTCAGACAGTTGCTAACTAATTTTATTAATGTTGTTAATGGTTGTATTGCGGATAAAAATGGGTTTATGTCAATCAATCTTTTAAAAAACTAGTTTTTGATAAAGGCTAACCAAGGCGTAACAATTGTGTAAGTGACTTACAAGAGGTCCGTCTATTAGAGGAATACCCCTTCAATAATTATGCTTAATAAATTTGCTCAATTAGCATTAAAAGTTGGTTAATTGGCATTTATCGGATTGTGGTCGGATTAGGACGTCCGAAACCGACCACAAGATAATTAATGGCCGGATTCGGACGTAACATATATAAGGGTATCAGGAAGAAATCAAAATGGCAAAGAGATTCAAAACGTACTGATTTGGCAGTTCAACGTCTTGTTTGTAGTTTTGTCAATAGTTTAGGCCCAGTTTACTTTTAAGTGTCTATAACCTGTTCAGCTGAGAACTGAGTAGCTTGTAGACTTGTGAGAAACTCAATCAGTCAATCTACTATAACTTTAAGTTGCTTTTCCACGATTTCGCATAGTCATCAGTTGAAGTCCTGTGTCTAGAGAAAAATTCTCGTTTTCCCAGGTCCATTAGAAATAAAGGCAGGAAAAAAAGAGGAACAAAGGGAACAAAAGAAAAAAGAAAACAAGAAGATAGACGGTCCACGAAGAGGTCTAAAAATGGTCCCTCAAAACATCTTTTGGAGCCAAAAACACTTCTTCTGGCATAATTTAACCTATTGATTACGTTTCTGACCAAATTGGAGCCAAATAAAAAAATATTTTTTCAATTTTTTTGTGTTTACCAGTCAATTTAAGTTAGAAAATGAATATTTAGTGGTTAAAAATGGTTTTGGCTCGGAAACTCGGCTTAAAACACCTTTTCTCAAGCTCTCCGTTGTGTTTTTCGGAATCTACGCATAAAACTACCCCAGGAAAAGTGTTTTCAAAAGAAAAAAGCCCCCCCCCCCCCAACATGACAGGCTCCTGATCCACTGTTTCAAACCGGATGGTCCGACTTCTACGGGATTACAATTTCTGAAGAACGCTTGCATAAATAAAGAAATCGACGATATTTTGGGACCCCTCGAATCGGCAGAATTTCAGGATTTAAGAAAAGGAAATGAACAGGAAGAAGAAAATGATGATTTTATTGATTCTGATTTTTCGATTTTTCGATAATTTTTGTTTATTATTTTTTCTTTTATGGTTAACTTGTTATTGATGTTTTTAAATCTTTGTTATTAGAATAAAACTAAATAGAAAATCAAGTCTTTTACATTGAATTGCCTATCTATTAGATCCGGATTGGGTAACCTAACGTTTTACAATGATAGGTGAAAATTAGCCTTAAATTACAGTATTTACGATTAGTAAATCTGAATCGATCTAAATGAAACGAAAGTACTTTGAAGCGCCTTGAACTTTCTGCTTTTTACCGATCTGGGCATCTTTCGCGAGCAAATAAGTGACGATTTTCGAATGTCCTTTTCTTGCTGCATGATGCAGTGGAGCCATACTTAACACAAAAGATTAATGTATGTCATATTCAATATCATACATTGCGTCACCAACATCTCCGTCAATATCGGAATATCTCAGTAACACTTTCACACATTCGGCTTGTCCCTCCTAAAAAACATTTTGTGATGCCACTGTTTTGTTCTGCCGCTAATTGGTTTACCGTAATTCAGTTACTGGTTAATTTTGAGTTTTCACTTTTAGTTTGGAACGATATTTACTTTGGAAAATAGTTAGTTAGTTGTTCTCCCAGTGGGATAAGATTGAAATTTAGGTCAATCAGAGTCAAACCTACCGAGATGGCCACATCAAACGGCGTCCTCTTCCTGTGATTCTTGGCCTTTGGATCTGCTCTCTTTTGCAGCAAGATTTGACAAATTTTAGCAAATCCTAAATATACAAAGTGACTATTTGCTTCTGAAAGAAAAACCAGCCGCGGCCGCTTCGTGAAGTGGAGTATTCGAAATCGAGTTACGTGCATTCAATATCACGTAAATATCCTGCTCGACGTCTAGCTGCACTTCAGAGTGTTGAATTGGATTGTTCGGCATATTTTGCTGCTGTTGTTGATTCTGTTCTTGCTGTCGCTGCTGTTCTTGGCGTTGGTGTTCTCGTTGTTGCTCTTCTAGGTGCTCTTTTGAGCAACTCAGCAGGTACTCAACCTAAAAAAGCCTTTTTAAATTTTATTCAAGGCGAAGAATCGTCATATTCAAGAAGATTTCAATTCCAACCACAGAAACGTGGCCAGCCCTTGCTGCCACGTGCAAAACAGTGTCATTGAAATCATCAAGTGCTGTCAAAATGGCTCGATGCTTCAACAAAATCTGAAAACAAGATAGTTTAGGGAAATGTGTCGCAAAAACCTTTATGCTGTCCAACGATCCACACTCAGCAGCACAACGAATCGGAGTCTTGTGGCTTGAATCAATGATGCAAAATTCGAATTCTCATTCTATCCAACATACAAAAAAAATACAACTCAGCAAATATCTTTTGTTGATCCACGAATTTGTTGCCATTTTTTCCATAAAATTCTAAATTCGGTTGAGCTTTGGTTACAAGTCAGTTTTTACCAACCTCAATGAAATCCACATGATTGTTGTTACTAGCCAGGATCAACATATTCTCTTTTTTGTTATTCTCGCAAAAGAACAAATCGAGTTCATTTCCATTAAGATAGAAATCGATCATAAACTAAAATTTTGTGAATTCTAGGCAGATTTACAAAACTAACATCAGCCGCTTCCCAAGCATTTGTGCTAGCAGTGTGAAGAAGTGGAGTCATTCCATTGTTGTCGGTTGCATCAAGAATGCTCGCACATGGTAACCTGTAAATTTTTGTTTGTTCTCAAAGAATAACACAATTTTTAAGTAAGACTTTTTTTAGTCAAAAACTAAACCAACCTGAGGAAATTCTCTACCGTCCTCATTATCGAACCCGACAAGTTGTTTGATAATCTCGCGATGATTGTTTTTAGCGGCCACATGCAACAGATTTTCTCCATCTTTATTTTTAATCATTTCTCCTTTTTCATCTTTGATCAGAAATCCAAACTAAATAAGCCATTACTAGAAAGCTATGCCTTTTTGGGAAAAGTATCCAGCTAAACTCTGTATTGACCTACCTCCCGTAGTAGCGTGAAAATTTTAATATTTCCAACCGCAGCTGCCACATGCAAGATATGGGCATTTTGCTCAATAGTGTTTTTTTTGACTTCTTCCCAATATTTCTGGAAGTTTTGGATTTCCTCTTCCCTTCCGGGATCCCTTGATCCTTCGGGAGAAGCAAGAGGGACGGCCGGCTTGAGTAAATCCAAGAGTCTGAAAAGACTCACTTACAATAAGCTGTTTAAGAATTCCAATTTCTCTATGAAATTTGGCACTTTCTTTTTTTCACACACTTTCACACACTTTCCCAGGGTTCTGGCAAGAAACTAGCTCTGGCAAAACCTAGCCAAAAGTCTCACAATCAAATTTTATCACCTCTTCAACTCTTCCAACTGCCCAGCTTCGACACAAATTTGCAGCGGTGTGATTCCCAGATCATTTTTCACGTTAAGCATTTTCCGAAGGCTTTTCATCCATGCAAATTGATCATTGTCTATTATTGCATCTGAAATGAACGCTATTTTTGAAATAAAGTGTGGTTGATCTACTCGAGAATGTAAAACTGTAAAGTTAAAAATTTTGGTAGTAGACTAACCCAAAAAAGCGCTGATCATCGTGCGCTCGCATTTGAGCAAAAAGTGAAGAATTGTGTCTTTCCGTGCATATTCCTTTAAGAGTATATTCGGCTGGAGAACCGGAATCAACTCTTTCACCTGAAAATCCTGTTTATCCTCTGTTGAGTTTACTTTAACGCACCGCTTTGTCCGCATTTTTCAAACAAGCCACCATCAGCGGAGTTCTTCCATGACCATCCAAAAGCTAAATCTTTTCATACACTAAATCATTTTTCGATCTTACATCTCTGTCACACTTCTCCGATTCCAACAAGAGTTTTGTGGTGAATTCGGAATTTGTGATGACCGCATAGTGCAAAGGAGCGTAACCCTTGCCGTCTTTTGCGTTGATGTCACTGAAATTTTGCATTTGCAACTACTTTGGCCTTGGCACTCACCCATTTGCATCGAATATTTCGATGATTTCTCGCAAAGCTTCAGCTTGGGCTTGCTGTGCAGGATCAGGATTTACTAAATGTTCACACTAACATTGGTTTTAAATTAAATACCCATTTCAACACTTTCGCTTGGCCGCTCAGTCCCAAGGGCCACACAATGAAAAGCGGTCAAACCGGGCGGAAAACTATGTTCTTTGCTCCAAGAGCTCGTTCTTTTCTCCAAGAGCAGCTTTCTAAAAGGAACTTTATTGATATCACAAACTATAAACGTGTTGCTAACAATAGTAAATCAAATAAGTAAATCAATACAGGGTGGCGCAAAAGTCCTTGCACTAGTTCAAGGTACCATAAAAATAAAAATTCCTTAAACAATATTGTCTCAAGCTTTAACAACAATTTTATTCAACATTAAATAACAACTAAATCATAACGAATTTTCAAAATTACCTCCCTTAGCCTCAATGCACTTCTTCAAACGTTTCCGGAAGCTCTCGACGATGGTCGTAAGTTCCGACACGGTAATCTCGCCCCAAACTCTCCTCAAAACTCTCTTCAAAGCGTTCACTGTTGCGTATCTTTTCCCCGAGATCTTCTGCTCCAAGATCAACCAAATAGAGAAGTCAAGAGGGTTCAAATCTGGAGAGTTGCCCGGCCAAACATCCTTGCCCCAGGCGCCCGGAAACAGCTGATTGCAAAGGGCGATTGTCGACGCAAACCCATGAGTTGGTGCCCAGTCCTGTTGAAGCGTAAATCCCGTTTGTCCAAAATGATTTAAAGCCCACGGCTCTAGGATATCTTTCGGCACTTTCTGTTGGTAAACTTGTGCATTGATTTTCACATTTTGGTCGATGAAAAAAGGAGGAGTCTTTCCGGTGACACGCACGCCTCCGCATACCATTACCGACTCCGGAAAATGCTGTCTTGTCATCAATTTCGCCGCAAAAGTGTTCTTCAGGCCTCGTTTGAGCAGTTGGCGATCGTTTTCAGAGTTATGAATGGGTTGGATTGTAAAAATCTTTTCATCCTTAAACAACACTCGCTGCAAGCGGCCAACAGCGACCAGACGCAACATCTTCTTGGCGCGCTGTTCCCTGTTTTTCTTCATTCGGTCATTCAAAAGGTTTGCCCGGCTGATTTTGTAGCTTCCAAGTTTCTTTTGAACATTATAATGGTTGGTGAAAATTGCGCTTGTGAGACTTTTTTAAAATAGCGCAAGGACTTTTGCGCCACCCTGTAAATGAACAGTGAAAAGATCCACAAGTACCAAATAGTTAGAAACCGGTTATCTAAACCAATTAATCACCAATTAACCCGTAAAAGCTTTGTCACATGTCACAAATCATAAGGTTTTTTTCATCGTTGTCATCCCCTGGGTCAATTTTAGTCTCCTGCTGGATCCAACTGACCTGTAAGCAACGCTCTGTGCATCAAACTGCTCTTTCACTTGCTCAGGCTTACAGCTTTGAATGGAGACCAAAAGCTTTATGAACTAAATACCTATGTATTAATTTGGGATGCTTTTCGATAGATCCGCGTTGAAATTCTAGTTGATTCATGAAAAAAACCCACGTCATCCTCGTTAATTTGTGGCTGTTCTTCGGGTACTATTTGCACTCTAACTGTAAAAAAATATATAATTTCTTCTTCAGGTTTTTTTCCTTATTACGGTATGCGAAACTTTTGGAGACCGGACCGATTCCAAAACTGAGCGCTTTTTGCCAAAAGCTGTTCATTCATATAAATCACCAAATACATAGGGATATCCGTATAGGAAAAGAAGAAAGATATTCGCTATATAAATATTAGGTTGTTCGGATATAAACAAGCGTTGCTAAACTTTTTGTTGTGAGAGAAGCTTTTAAAACATGTCTTTCTGTATTTAAAAGTACGTTACCTTGTGCATATTTGGAATCTTTTTAAACGGATAATTTCTTATTTTTAAGATCTTTTTTTCTTGCTTTAGATGACCGACTTCGAACATCAAGTTCGCGTCTGCCTACTTTACGATTTCAAACTGGGCAAAACAGCCGCGAAATTCCATCGAGATTTGGTCAAAGCATTTGAGAATGATGTATTGTCCGAAAGCCGATGCCAAGCCTAGTTCCAACACTTTCGGAATGGTGATGAAAGTCTCGAGGATGATGAACACTCTCGTCGACCTCAAGTGGTAAACAACGATACTTTGAGGGCTGCAATCGAATCGGACCCATGTCAAACGACGCGTGAACTTGCTCAACAGTTTATATGTTAAAATTCTACTATTGAAGAGCATCTTCACCCCATTGGAAAGACGATCAGATGCGGGAAATGGCTTCCTCACGAGTTAAGCAGTGCAAATAAGGCTTCATGGGTCGCTATTGCCGGAATCCTCATCCGCCACGCTAAAGATCATGGATTTTTTGATTCTCTCGCGACTGGAGATGAGAAGTGGATCCATTTTGATAGTACTATTCGAAAACGGCAATAGCTAGGACCAGGAGCACGGCCAAATCCGACCGTGAAACCGGACATTCATGGGGAAAAGGTCGTGCTTTCAGTATGGTGGAATAACAAGGTCCTTGTGTATTACGAGCTTTTACAACCCGGCCAAACAGTCACATCAGACCTCTAAAAACAGCAACTTTATAGGGTCAATGAAGCTCTCATTCATCAAGAAGTAGACACATCAAAGATAAAGTTCATCCATGACAACGCTAGATCTCACGTTGCAAAAATCACTTAGCAAAAACTGGAAAATCTAGGATGGAAGCTTCTACCACATCCGCCGTATTCTCCGGATCTGGCTCCCTCAGATTACCATTTATTCCAGTCGATGCAAAACCTTTTGGCTAATGAGAAATTCAAAACCCGTGAAGATATCCAAAATTGGGTCGCCAAGTTTTTCGAGTCACAGCCAGCTGAGTTTTCAAGAGTGGCATCAATTCTTTGCGCAAAAGATGGCAAGAAGTAATCAATAATAATGGTGAATATATTTTGGATTAAATTGTATTGTTTCTATTTTTAAGATAATTTTTATCGACTACTAAAACGCTCGTTTATATCCGAACAACCTAATAGAACAAACCCTGCATCCCAATTTCCTCAGGCTCTGGTGTTGGCTCGAGTGGACCACTCCAACATTTCCAGCAATCATCAATCAATCCACCTATAAATCATATCTAATTGTAAGCAAAATATTTCATTAGCTTTTATGGACATACCAACTTTTTCAATTAATTTCCTATCAATTCATTTTGATTTGAAAAGTTTATGAAAGATAATAAAAGATATCAAAGTAGGTAGATTAGATGAAATCACGGTAGTTATGAAAAGTTGACACGCTTTAAAAAATTCGGGAAAAAAATGCTCTACGTTTTTGACGAATCCTTAACATCTCCAGGTCTCATCTCTATGATTTAATAATGATAAGAAAGATTTGTACTTTGATTCACACAGTAAGCCGGAGAAATTTTGCATAAAATTCACCTGCTCGATTGATTAGTGGTATATTTGCAGGATCATCCATCCTTTATCTGGAATCATTTAATGATTAAAGCAAAACAATGAATGTTCAAAGAAATACAGCTTTACTATCAATTTTTCACAAAAAAAATTCAATTTATTTCTTAATTGTATAAACAGGAGTCGTCTCAAAAATGGCGTTTTTTTCAGAAGAGTTAAGAAAGTTACATCGTTTTCAGCCCAAGATGCAGACTTGTGTGGGTGAAAATACAAAAGAGCCATTTTTTTTAGTGTGTTACCGAATTGATCAGAAAAGATGCAAGTTTTATCTTCTTTCTTTTCCGTTTCTTCGATTTTTCTCAGCTATTTTTTAGGTCCCTAATGTTGCCTTTGTGATCAAACGAGGATGGGAACGATGTGTGATTTGTGAGCAAACGAGGTAGAAAACGATGTGTAATCAACGAGTGGCGGTGTATTTTTATGGTGCAATGAAAGAAACACTCAGTTTTCTCACTGATGAGTGCCAACTTTTAAAGGAAATTAAATTTTTTACCCTAGAAACATGATAAAACAATCATAAAATCCACTAGATCTAAAATTTAAGCTATTCTTTTTGCTGTGAAGTTTTCTTTTGATGCAAATTATCAAGTTGATGATGAGGTGTGAGAATTTATTCGAGCAATAGATTAATTAAATGTCGAGAAAATTGAAATTCAATGTTCAAAATCTGCAAATACTTTTAAGAACTGAATTCTCGACAGTTTTGATTACAAAGCTGATACCCGAATAGGAATCCTCAGGTACTCCACCAAACAGAACGCCGACCACCAATCGACATTGATCGGCTGATTGATTGTAGAGGAAAAAGTTCTTCTTTGTATTTGGATGATTTGAACCATAATAAAATTGCAAGCCGCGATGATTGACTTCAAGTTCTGATTGTTTTGACAAGAAATCATTCGCAAACTCGGCCACTTTTGAGTTGTTCTCGATTACTTTAATCCCATCAATCTCTGCAATTCTCTCACTAAGCTCATCAAAAAGCTTTCCCTTGCTGAACCAAAAGTCCGTGATATCTGCAGAGTTTAACAGAAAAGTGTTATCCAACCTCAATGCCATTTCAATAAGTGATACAAAATTTCTTGTATCCGCTGTTCGATCCATAATTTGAACGAATTGTACCTCCAAAAAGGCCCACTCGATTGAATTGGGAATTTTAGAGAAAATCGGCTCCCAATGAATGTATCCAAAAGGAGAAGACCAATAAAAGTGTCGACAATTCTTATTCTTTTCCAAAACTGCAAAAGCTTTTTCCCAAAATTTCACAAGAATCGGGATATCTGTTTCATTGTATCTTTTCTGAGATCTGATCATCAGTTTATTAAAATTTTTTCGAAAAAGCCGCAAAAATGGTTTAATTGGTGGTGGAAGAAGGATGAATAATCTCATGGATTCACAGCTGTATCGATCACAAAATTTCTCAATTTCCTCAAAACATTTTACCAGTTCTTTTTTAATTGGATTTCCCAGTTCGAATCCTGTTGGAATGTCAATATGACGAGGTTGAAGATTGGCGATAAATTTGAAAAGGAATTTTTCAAAGTCTTGAGAAAAATCTCGGCGGTAAATACCTTTACCTAAGCCAATTTTATTATTTTTCGAAATTTTGGTCTTCATTTCTTCAGGCAACTTTATGCCAAGTTTGTCAAAAAGAAAATCCTGGGAACTAGATTTATCAAGGTTCAGGCTAACACCAAGCCGTACAAGTTTTCGAGAACAAGTTGTAATCCAAGATGAAAACGTGATTTGTTCAATTTTCCTTTCGAAACAGCCATTTCTCAAGAAATATCCTCTCACTGTGCGATTTGTTCTCATAAGTTTTCTGCTTTGCTTTGCTTGTTTAAAAATAATCTCATTTTGAAGTTCTTTAGGAAGAATTAGAATTTGAAATTGAGAAAATTTCAGAGAAAAGCTTGATTTGGGCAAAGAAATGATCGGATTTGCTGCCTCTTTTGAGTGATTTCTTTTTCTGAGACGTGAAGAAATTGGATTTTCAGACATTGAGTTCAAGTTTTGAATTTGGCTATAGAAATATAGAGTTTTGTGCGTTGAAAAGGTGAGAAAGCGTTTCCTTCATTCTCTAAATAGGAGATGACAAAGCCGATAAGGAAAAAGAGGGAAATGGTACGGTAGATGGGACACAGTTTTGGTAAACACATTCTAGGTATCTTGAATTAAACCAGTAAAAATTTAAACCTTGAAAGTTTAAACCTGCAAGACTTGAAACGGTCTTGAATTCTTAAATGTTTGAAACCAAATTTTTGACGGCGCACAGTAATCCTTTTTAGGTGCTTTTTAGGGTTTTAAAATATGCTCTTTCTAATGGAAAAGGTTTTTTGTTGATAGCTCGTTTCCATTGTAAACTAGTTATTTCAAATGTTCAACGATGACTACTGTGGCTATTATGGCTGGTACACGAGATATTATACTTATTTAAGTGCTCGTTGCATTTGTAAGAAGCCGTAGAAACAATTGCTGAGTTGAATGACAAATGAAAACAAGATAAATGATTAAATTTACCATTTAAGCACTTCTGCAATATTTATTTGCGTTCAAAATTAGGCCACGCCCACTTTTGTGTTCATAACTTACAATCTTTCTTCTTTCCTTCTTTCTCTTGGCAAGTTCGGATAGCTCAGTTGTTAGAGAAATTTGTCGGAAAGAAAAAGGTCGAGGGTTCGCTTCCCTCTCTTGCCTTTCTTGCCAATTACTTCACTTCTTTATTACAATTAGATGCACAAGATAAGTACAAGCTTCACACTCAACTCTTTTTATTCACCGACAAAAAGTTCACTTTCGACCTCGACGTGATCGTTCTTTGCTCGGCTGGCGGAGAGTTATTCCATGTATCGTTCAGGGTCGAAAAGTACATTTCACCTTCTTCCGTTTTTCGAATCACTTCGATTTGTTTCGTTCCTGGAGTTGAATTGTTTTAGAGTGGATGCACAAAACTCACTTATCCTCAACGCAATCTCCAAGACAATTGGCATCACCGTTCCATAAATTGGAATAATACAAACGATCTCCAAAAACATCGTATGAACCACTTTACTACCCGATGGAAATATCTAATAAATTTTCCTTTCAAATCTAATTTCTTTCAAACTTACCACATAAAACAGTGATAAACCGAAAGAAGTGATGAAAAAGAAAACGAAATGAATATAGAATATCGGCAATAAAGTGATGATCACTTTTTTGTTCTCTTCGATTTGGTAACGATTTGAGAGTGAGAGAAGAGTCGAGATTGGGGATTTTAAATGATTGACGTAGAGAACGAAATGAAAGAGGAAAAAGACGATCACTTCGGGAATCACTTCTGCGTACATCATTGTCTGAAATGTTTTGCATAAAATCATTATTGTCTACTATTATTGTATAATGTTGGGCGACTACAGTAATCTCCAATTCCCCGACAGCTACAGTATCCCAAAATGTCAAGAAGATCCCAAGTTTTTCTCAAACCTAGAATCAAATCAAATTTTCCGATCCAATACTCGATGAACTTCACAATTGAATCAGCTCAATTTAAGAGTTAGACTGATTTTTCCAATACCAGTACCATCTCTGACTTATCCAAGATCAGAACAAGTACTTCAAACTATAGAATTCAAGATAGGTATCAAGTTTTAACTTTCTCCTTTTGCAAAAGCTCTTATCGAATCTTGTCGTGAACCATTTCCCCCTTTCAATTATCAAGTACCCTTAACCTTTCTCTTTATTTTTTCTCTTTAACAAAATGCCCTCAATATGCCCTCATCTGTTTGTATTATGATGCTAATCCCCTTCCCCCATTTCCCTTTTCTGTTACCTGATATCTATCCTCATTATTGTTGTCTCTGACAGTGAATGCAACCACTTCATGATCCCATTCACTTCCCGGTGCCAAGAGACCATATGAGAAGCAGAAAGCTAGCAAGATCTAAATGGCAATGGGAAATGACTTACAAGGGAAAGGCAACAGTAGGATGTGGCTAATGAGTTTAGCAATAGACCACTCGACGCAGAATTCTCGCTGATTCCGAATCTGATTTCCTTTTTGCAAAATCGCTTTCTATAAAAAGTTATGTTTTAAGTTTTAGGGTAAAAATGCGAAACTTTAGAGCCGAATACGGATGCCTCTATAAGGGTTCTCTCACGGACCGCAAACCTGACTTGATGGTATAGTGGATAAGACGTTTACATGCGAAACGAGCGGTTCCATCCTTTTTCCAGGTGTTAAAAATCAACACGCAAGACAAACATTTTGCCAAAAACGAATCGAACTCGAGCGAAAAATGCAACGCTCGTTTTGTATGCAAGTGTTTTATCCACTATACGATCAAGTCACGCTTGCAATCCGTGAGAAAACCATTATAAAGGCATCTCTATTCGGTTCCAAATTTTCGTTTTCCCCCTATTAAAACACGTGGAACCTCATATAGAAAGCGATTTTGCAAAAACAGAAATCAGCTTCGGAATCAGCGTGAAATTCTGCGTCGAATGGGTCATCTCATTTAACCTTTCCCTTGTTAGTTTAAGAACAAAGGTAAATTTATTCAAGAAAGCAAGCTTTAAGCTGAATAAGTCTATAATGAACTGGTTTGAGTCAATTAATCCACCTGAATTCAGTACAGTACTGACATGCCCACTGGATCCTGTATAATCTGTACAGGCACAGTACTGATACCTCTTCAAGTCTTATCGTAGTACTATACGATGTTTTTTTTTAACTCTACAATAACGCTAAACCCACCGATCCACTCAAGAGCCCAATCCCTAATTTATACGAGCTCGTTCTCTCGTACTCGACCGGGTAATATGTCGAGTATAACCTGAAACTTTTCTAGAAAACCAAATTTTTCTCAAAACCTTTCAATAGCTATACTGAATATCGTATAGATTTGCCCGAAAATCCCAAAAATGGCAATAATCCTAACGTGAAAGACGAAAACGAAAGTCATCAGATAAGAGCAAGGATCGTCGGATGATGACCAGTATCTGGAAAGATTGGTATGGAGAAGATTTGACTCAAGTTCTACTATTTGTACTAAATTTCATGGTGTATCTTCAGCCAGATCACCCAGATCAAACTAACTAGACAATATAGTTTCGTTCTGACTTTTTCCTATCCAGGTAAACCAAACCAAGCTGTAGCTATGGATTTTGGTTAGCTTTCTAGACCAGAGCCCTGATCAAAGTCGATATTGTTACCTGACTAAATCATAGATATGAATAAACAAATAGACAGCATTGGCAAGGCACGTGAAACCGATGTGAAAAGCGAAAAGGAGACGAGTGTTGTGGTGGACAAGCCAGCGGATACCCTGCAAGTTTTTGAATGACCATTCTATCAGATTTTCCGGAAAGTCTTGTCCGCTTTTTTTAAAGGTTATTTTTTAACATAAATAATGAATCAAGTGATCTATAATTTGTTTTATCAGAAAGTCCTATTATTTATTTTAAAATTGGCCTTTAAGAAATTCTGAAAAGCTCGCGTTAGTTCATTTTTTTAATGGTTTAAGTTGAGCAGTCAAAAACGATGAAACTCAAAGTTTAGATTTGAGCACAGAAACCTATTTTGGTGTCAAAAGACAAAATATAGAGAATGAAAAGTTAGGCAGATCCTTTATAGACAAATTTTCATAACATTTCTTCAAGCTGTTTTCATTCTATGTGCATTGTAAGGATCTTAGGAAAAACAAGAATTCCTCTTCGAATTTCCTTCAAAGTGGACTCTAGAGCTATATGGAATAGTTAATCTTTTTTTATTTAATTATATTTTTATTAATGTTTTACTTACACGTTTATTGGTTAATTATTCATTTCTAAACGAAAATTTTCAAAACGGTGGACAAGACTTTCTGGCTAAACCAATATAACCAATATGGCTGATCTTTTTATTAAAATAAAAATTCAAATTCAAGCTTAATTGTCAATAATTTGAAACTAACTCTTTTCTTGAAGATAATCGGCATCGTGATGAAACAAGAGAAACATCCGATCGCTTGAATGATCAACACGATTTTCATCGTTTCACTGTGCGCCAATTCGGAAGCTTCATCGCAAAGAGAATCGGTTAAATTTGTATCGTTCATTTTTTCTGCTGAATTCTGTTGCTGAAAAGCTCGATAATAAGCTAGGAAAATGTAAAGTTCAGAATTTGTGGTCAAAAGGAAATGTTTTCAAATGATTTATGAGATTTTTTGAGGTAGTCAAAAGTAATCAATTTCAAAAAGGAAAAAAAAGCTATTTTTCAAGATTTCAACATTTTTCTGCTTAAAGTTCAATTGAAAATTTTGATTCGAATTTTCAAATTTCCCCAAAAACCAGTGAATAATGTTCTTTGATTCATTATTTTTAACAGAAAATTTTCTCTTTTCCTTGCAAAAACCCAATCTTTTACCTTTGGTTTCTTGGAATGGGAAATGGGTGATGACAGGGTGTGGCATAATCATAGCTAAACAGTATTTCAATCATAACTCATCGCCCCTATTACTAATTTGTTTATTCCTTTTTATAAAATGAAATTTGGGCTTATTTCTTATTTCTAGTTTTACAGGCTTTCTTAAAAATTGTTTGATGAATTTTCTACCGGGTCTCAAAGTTAGCAATTGCTGATCTCTTGTGACCAGCCTACATCGGCCAATTTTTAAAAAAAGAAACCCCCAAAAAGTTGAAAACCCTTTAAGAAACTCTAAAACATAAACCCAATGCAAATAAATTTTAAAAAAGGCAAAAATGTTTGCAAAATTGGCCGATGTAGGCGGGCCACCAAGAGATCGGCAATTGCTAACTTTGAGACGCCAATAGAAAATTTATTAAACAATTTCTAAGCAAGCCACTAAGATCTACTGTCGAAATAAGTCCAAATTTCATTTTATAAAAAGGAATAAACAAATTAGTAATACGGTTGATGAGTTATGATTGAAATACTGTGTAGCACAAAAATAACATAAAAATAGCATCAAATAGCAATGATAGCAAATAATACACCCTTTAAAATAGCAAAGAGCACATCAAATAGCAATGATAGCAAATAGCACCCTTTAATTTATCAACCAATCCCTCTCTCCATTTTTTTTCATTAGATGAAAAATAAACACCAATTCTTTTTGAAAATTATAGCTTCTAAAAGGATATTTGGTTTTAAAACTTGGAAATTTTACATTAATTCCACTTACTTAAGTATCCCGCTTTCTAGAGTACGCTTGGAAGAAAGCTATCGTAATCTGGCTGGCTCTGGAAGAAAGCTATCGTAATCTGGCTGGCTCTGGAAGAAAGCTATCGTATCTGGTTGGCTTGGAAGAAAGCTATCGTAATCTGGTTGGCTTTAAATTTAAACCAAGTCAAATCCTTTTAAGAAACACAGCAAAATATGATTGTTAAAAAGAAGATTTATCGTTTAGACAAATTTCCATGTGAAAATGACTTTAAAGCCGATTTCATTCGATTCGGTGTAGACAAATAATACTACAAATGTGGGAAAACTGACTATGAAAGTACAAATTTTGATGGTCACTTTTGATTGAAATCCTTTGACGGTTTAAAGATTCAACACGGAAATCAAAAGTAAGTTTAACTTTTTACTGCGCATATGCTGCAAATTGGGGGTATGAGATAGAAATATGAGATATCGGAAAGGATAAGGAAAAGAGAAAAGACGAGGATCAAATTGGTCGCCTAGATCTCTTTTTAAATCTGGAGAAAGCTGAAGAAGCTGAAGAAATCAGACGCTTCCTCGGTCGAGGTTGACGTTTTGTAAAGGAGTTGGCAATTGGGATCAGTTCTGTGAATTTGCCGAAAGGATCTAGGCGACCACTTTTGAGGCATTTGAGAAGCAAACGAAGAGAGCTAATAAAAGTCGGTACAGATGTCAGAGATCTAGCTTCTTCTTTTGCCTTTTTGTCGTTTGGAAAGACCATAAAACCTAGTTTTGAATTACTATTAGCCAAAATTGTCCAAGAAAGATTTTCCGGGAATTGTAGGACTTTTGATACGCACCCCGCCCCTTTGCCATTGGCAATCCTACTTTAAACTCAAATATCTTGGTGTTGGGTTGTCCAGTTTAAATAGTTTTTGTACCAATCGACAGAGAAAGACTTAGCACATCTAATGATATCAAAAATATTAAAATTGGAAAACCCAACACCGAGATAGTTGAGCTCAAAGTTGGATTGCTAATGGGAAAAGGGGCAGGCGCGGATGAAATGCGCCGGACCAGGCAAAGTCAAGCAAATCGATTGGCTTGGTGTCTGGTCTTGCATGTTCTACCCTGGCTTTGCTATAGACCTGAGCCTGCTAGAATCCAAGTACGGGCCTGGCTTAAACGTTGTTCGATCTGGCTTATTGTTGGCTTACTAGGGTCAGGCTGGAACATCTCAAGAAACACAGTCTAACCAAGTGAGTTTTATCTAGAGATTTTTCTAAAGAGCAAGTTACCAGAAAGTTTACATTTTTGAACAAGTGTGATGTTGTAGTCAAAAAAGTAGCATTTATGTCCTGTTTTTTTATCAAATTCAAAGGAAAGCTTATGTTAAAAAGGACAATATTCACAACTTATTCAACTCACTTACTAACGGACTTTCAAAAATGATAAACTTTAACAAACTTGCATTAAGAAATGACATCATTTAAAATTCAAACTTTGCTCTCATTCCTTTTTGAATTTCAGCGATTTATTGGTAATTTGAGAATCTCGTGTGTGAGATTTTTGAGAGATGACTTTTCAAGATTCTCATAAAACTTGGCTTTGCAAAGAAAATTGCTCCGGAAAAGGAAAAACTTGAGAATTTGATTGGATCTCTTTAGAAATGTAAAGAAACAAATTTTTGCATAAAAGAATAATTACTTTAGGATCAAAAAGCTGAACAAAAATGAGTCATCTCGGCAAAACTTTAAAGTTCTTGCTTGTGTATAAAGTAAAAATCTATTCAAAAAACTTATTTACTTTCAGAACATAGGTTACACTTTAGAATTCACCGAAAAGCTTCAAAATTTACGTCCAAAATTCAAAATTGACTTCCAAAGCGATTTTTGCTTAAATTTCATTGAGTTTCGAGTTCCCAAAGCGGCACAAAATGGGGTTATTTTTGTGATTTCTGAATAAAACTGAATAGAAACTAAATTGGGTACTGGGTTGTGGCTTTTGTGGTATAATTGTACCTACTTGTGCGTCTAGATTAGAAAAATCTATACACATTAAACGCAAAAAAAGCTAACAAGAGGAAAAGAAAATTCTCAATATTGCAAGCTGATCAAACTGAAAAAAAAACAAAAAAGCCGATGAAGCTTTTCGGTGAATTCTAAACTGTAACCTATTTTCTGAAAAAGATATAATACAATCAGAGGGTTTCAAAGCCGATTATGGGCCTAAATGTTGATCTGAACCTAGAGCTGGAGCTGGAGCTGAATCTGGGCTTTGCCTGGTATGGCTCTTTAGTGTCTTCGGCTGAAAAATCCCCGGTGAAATGCTAATGGTGGTAAGAAAATCGAATTTTTCAAGACCAGTCACACAAAAATTCACTTCAAAGGCTCTAAAAATACTCCACTATTTTTGGAAACATTTTAGGGAAATAAAAAGTGGTTGTCCACTGTTGTCCACTTCAATTTCCGATCTCATTTCCCGGCATGGCCAACTGGATAATTGAGAAAACGAAGAGAGGGTGGAGGCAAAAATATTCACCCAGAATTGGGATAATTAAGCATTTACAATAGAGATGAGAAAACGTTCGAATTTTCGTCACTTATCAGAAATCGGTAATTTGACATCAAAAAATGAAATTTCAATAATGAATCACAACACAACGGAGGAAACTTTACCCCTATTACTCAAATGTTGTTAAGAAAAAATCCATAATGATGGGAAAAAGAACCAATTTTTCTGGTCGTCGGGACTGAATCTTTGACCGCCGGCTAGAAGACAAGACTTCTATTCGGTCAGCTACGATAGCTTTGAATTTTTTTGTTTCCTATTGAAGTATAAGTCGAAATGTTAAAGAAACAGCTTTTTCGGCGAATTATCATGATATTTTGGGTGTTGTGAGTCAAAAAAGGTGTTCAATTCGTGAAGGAATTTCCCTTTTGAAGAATTTTTGAAGACTCATGCAAAAAGCTTAGGAAAGCATTTTCAATGCATTCTCGAAATTGAGATTTCTGGAAAAGTGAAATAAAATAGATGATCGGTTAGAAAATGTAAGATTGAGAATAGGAAATAGAATAAATTAAGCTTGGTACTGTCAGGTTTAAGTTAATCTGTTATTAGAAGTTGTTTTTGGGTTTATAAACTAGAACTTTTTACTCTAATAAACGAGATATTTGTTGAGTATACTCGAGATTTAAAATATAATGAATTTGATCGATGCGAAGGTTGGCGAAAATCGAAAATCGAAAATTTGCCATTCAAGTAAGGCCAAAAGGCAAATTGTAGGATTGAAATGAAATGATCTGCTTTTAAAAAGTGATTTTTAAGTAGCTTTTCAGGCATAAAGAAGAGCGCTATCTGTACTAGACATGGGAGAATTTCAATCCGACCATAATTCCACCTTGGTTTTCTTGTTCAATTACTCTGAAATTTTGTTTACAGATAGAAATCAACATTTTAAGCTTGTAGACAAAATTTCAGAGTAATCGGCCAAGAAACGGTCGAGGAAATGAAGATGGAATTGGGTTTGGTTTGGAATTTTCTCTGTCGAATAATCTGTACTAGATTAATATATTCAAATGTGACTATAGTTGGCTTATTGTTAGATCAAAAAGTATTTATGAAGAGTAAAAAGTTTAGATTAAATCAAGAGTTTCAAGATCGAGTTGCAAATTTGTATTAAAAAAGTATTGAAAAGCGTAAAGTTTAAAGAAAGATGAAGGCATTTGATAGACTTTTCAGAGGATTGCTCACTTCTTTTCTCCAAACCGATGAAAAGGCTCATCATCTCACCGAAAAGTGCCTTGAACAAACAAAATTTTTCAAAAAGATTTTTGGTTCTTTTTCATTCTTTAATTGTTCCCATGAGTTGAAATCATTTTTCTTCAAAAATTTGATTGAAAACAGCTGGGATTTAGTGTTTCTTTTAAAGAAAAGAATTGGCGTGTGAATTTTCTTGAAAATCATCCAAGTCAAATTGTTTTTAGTAGACTTTGATATCTATAAAAAAAGCTGAGTGCAATGTAAATGGGCTAGACAAATCGGATCACAAAAATGTTATGGGAAAATTTTAAGATAAGAGACGTATGAAATGTTAAAATTGTCCGGGAAATAGCAAGTGGATTAAATGCAAATTTTCATCGTACAAATACCTTTTTAGAAGTCTTTTAAGAAGTGAATAACAGAAAGAGATAATTGAGACGGAACTAGAATTGGATAAGAGAAAAGAGTAGAGAAAAGAGAAACACTAATAGTAAATGTTTAATGGGAAAGCTAAAGGTTAAAGATTTAAAGCTAAACTTTGGGATAAACTTGCTAAAGAGAGTAGTTGTAGTTGTAACCAATGATATTCCAAATAGTTTCACTATTAAGGTCGATAAGGCAGTTTAGGTAAGGCAAGAAGGTTTTCTTTCTGCTCTAGCTTCTGACTGGCCTATATGTAGAATCGGGTCAGGACCAAGCAGTGATTCCAAGAGCAAGCTAGAGCCAGGTTCTATCGTTTGATCCTGGACCTGCTCTAGCCTCATTTGGCATAGCTTGATAAATCAATAATCAATACAAAGAGGCCAGCTTTACTGGCCGTGCATAAGATATATTCCAAGCCATAAGATCGCACATCCAACTATGTGCGTTTACACTCTTCAAGCAAAGAACTTATAGGAAACAATAAGAGCTACGAAGAGAACGCAAATTTGAGCCCTTTTTCATATAATTTCACTCCTATCTCTTCCCAATCACTTTCAAGACATTTAAACATTTCAATTCCATTTTCAATCTTTTCCATCACTTGTTTGAAGAGGAAACACGTCGTTAATCGTTATCTTCTTTGCACCTTTTCCCCTTTTTTTCTTCACTGAAATGAATGGGTGGCTTGGGTGTATACGAGCTGCTGAACACATTAAAATTTCATTAGTTCACCTTCTTGTCTTGATTTTGTTTGCATTTTGCAAAGGAAAGAAACAGAAAAAAAATCAATCAAAGTCATTTTACCAACTTACTTTAATGTTACTTTTTTGTTTCCAACAAAGCCACGTTTCTCATTTGACAAAACAGCGATTAATAGACAAAAAAAAACTTGATCTTTCCTTTGTTTAGAGGAAAACTTGTCAAAGTTCGTAATGACAAAATCTGAATTTTTTTTTGAAAGTTACTGTGACCTACTTAAATTTCAGTCGAAGGAGGTTGATTGCGGGAAATGATGCTTCAAAAATTTTCAAAGTCAAGGTGCATACATACAAGTGTTATTTTTTCAAATGAACTCTTATTTTGTATTTTAACGTTTCTTCTTTGAGATCACAAAGTTTTCGAGTAAATTTAAATACATAAACCTCTAACTCGAGAGCTCAAACTGCGTTATTTGCGTTGAGGAAGACATTTGAGAAGAAAACCCCCGAAGTCACCCCATCAAAATGAAGCTTCCCATTCAGTTTTAAGTTAGTAAGACTAGTTTTTAGCTTTTGAAATACAATATTCAGATTCAGCAAATAAAAAAAACCTTAAAAAACATGGATCTAGAATAAAATTTTGGGGAAAAATGGGGATAAACTATTTCATGACTTTTTAAAAGAACACTCAAACAATTTCTTTAAAAACTCGAGAAAATTATAGCTTTCACGTTATTTTTATATTGGAATTATACCTATTTTAGCATTTAAATTGATGCTTTGAAAAGTTTAGCTCATTTTTTTCTTGGAATTTATTTTCATTCACATTTTGTATACAAGTAATTCAAATCTTTTTTTCATTTGCAAAAACGTATCTTCAAATTCTGACTTATTTTTCACAGACGTTCAACAACAACAACAACAACAACTTCAAAATGACGTCAAACGTCGGCGACTCCGAGTCCGATGAAGAGCTTTGTGCAAATCACTCTACGTACAGCTATTACACTCCACAGGGAGTGATAATGGGATGGGATGGGCTGCCCGTCTACACTCATGTCAACGATTACATTGATGCCTGGATTGCTGCATCGATGATTTTGGTAATTTGAGAGTTTTATCGGTCTTGCATTTTTACTAATTTAAAGAAAGAAAATCGTTTTTGCACAGTTTGGGTACAGTTTGGGCTTTATTTTTCTGGCTTCGTGCGGGCGAATTTTATTTTTTCCACCCCTAGAGGGATCAAAATCGTGACCTTTCACACTCAGAAAGTGTAAAAACAAAAAAAGGAAAAAGTATTTCAACGAACCGGGATCGAACCCGAGACTAACCGAGCCCAACGTTGCTCAACTTGGCAGATCGAACGCTGGGACGGACTACCACTAGGCCATGCAGTGGCATGTATTCTTTAATTTCGCTTTTTAGAAAAAACGGTTAAATTATGTGCCAAATATTATTAGATTTTTGAAAGCTACGTAAAAAAGTTAGATTTATAAACTTTCACATCGATTGCTTCAGCCGTTTTTTTCTAAAACAGCGGAACAGACAGACAGACACACACTCTCTATTAGGTTGGCAACTAAATAATGGCCCTCGCCGTTTTTTGATAAAGTCTTTTAATCTTTGCGTTTAATCTACCCTCGCTTGTTGTTAATTGAATATTACTGAATTTCTGGTGCATTATTATACGTTTTTTTACTTTCCTTGATTTGATACTTTTCAAATAATTTTGTTTAGAAATGGAAGATCTCAAATATCGAATGCGTGTCTGTCTCTGGTACGACTACAAACAAGACAAAACAGCTGCCGAATCCCACAGAGATTTATTGCGAGTTTTTGGTGATGAAGCTCTTTCCGAAACACAATGTAAGAGATGGTATCGACGGTTCAAGGAAGGGGATGAAAGTCTTGAAGATGAGCCTCGCCAAGGACGACCCGAACTTCTGCAGAACGATATTTTGGAAGCAGCTTTAAAGGAGGATCCAAGTCAAACATCACGCGAGCTAGGGGATCGATTGGGCTTTTCGCATACTGCAATCGAAAAGTGACTTCATGCATTGGGAAAAAGTAACCGCAGTGGAAAGTGGATTCCGAAGAAAATAAGGCTACTCGTGTTATCACAGCTGGAATACTACTAAAACTTGCGAAAAAGGGAAGCTTCTTGGATTCCATTGTCACTTCTGATGAAAAATGGATCTTTTATGATAATCGAACGCGAAAACGACAGTGGCTTAGCACAAACGAAGACCCAAAACCAACTCCGAAGCCGGATATTCACTCAAAGAAAACTCTCCTCTGTGTGTTTAGTTGCCAACCTGATATTATAATAAGTAGGAGGGATAAATATCATGTGATTAGTATGTAAAGCTCGAGATATTCAGTGAAAAAAGTTGCTGTTGGATACCTGTTAGTTCAGTGTGGCTTTGGTGGGCTCATCGTGAACTCATTCTGTTGGAAAGTCATCAAAAGCAATCACCATCTCTCAAAATCGACCATTCACTTTTTGGGAATCGATTGCTTGTGTCGTTTCTACGAGGCACTTACCCAGTTTTACAAAGCATACGGTGTTTTAGCGTGAGTTTAACCCGTTTCCTGAGAAACTCATTTTGACAAGTACAATTTTAGTGCTTATTTCAGGCAAAAACATACTGTAGAAGCAAAGTTTATGATAAAAATCGTTACGTTCAATGCTCTAGATAGATCTTTCAGAACTTCATTTGGAAAAACGATCAGTTTGTTGACTGAATATCTTGGTATTATCTTGAAACTCTTGTTGACTAAATATTTATTCATGAATCACAGTTAATAAAAGTTTTCGAGATGATGGTTTTTTCAAATGAAGTTCCTAAATGCTCTGGAGCAATAAACGCAAGCTTTAAACATTACTAAAAACACTGAATAGCAACTTTCTAAAGGAATTGAGTCCAGAAAAACAGAAGTAATTGTTTTGTGAATTTTCGAGACTCTAGAAGAAAATTTGTAGTGTCAAACACCAAGAGAAAGGAATTTCTTTTTACAAAAACATTTCAATAGCTTATTCAAACAAGTGTTCAGTAGAGACGCCTTCGGTTGGCAATGTGTGAGTGTGATCGGGTATCCATTCAGTGGCCTTGTTGTCAATCAAATAATCACGGGCACCAATGCGGCATTGGGCAACGCAATGGTTTTACTCGGCAGTGGTCTTTCAATGAATCGGTACTGTAATCAAGCAATGCGTTTTCTCGAAGAACCTACCGTAGTCAAATCAGTTTTTATTCAATTCGCTTCATTTTGTGCTACGAGCTTCGCGATTCCTTTTGGAAACTTGCCAAAATGTAGAAGGTTAAATAAAAAGTTGAATAAAAAGCGTTTTGACTACGGTAGCTCTCCAAAAGGAGCATCTTTTAGCAATGGGTTACATGAGATGCAATAATGTAATCGTAAACAACTATAAATAGAGTACTGAGAAACAGCTATTTTTCAGGTTTATCTCCGTTTTCGTTCCATTCATGTACGCAAAAGTCGACCGCTTCGGTCTGCCACAAGCCGTTTTTCTTGTGCTCTTTCCCGTGGTCATCTGGTTGTCTCAAATCGGTGCATGTACTACTTTTTATGTTCTTTGATCATTTTTCCAATAAATTTCTAGTGGTCAACCGGAGAACGGGCTTTGTTTGCTATACGGGTTGGTATTTCACTCCGCTCAACTATGTCGTTACATGGCACTACCCAAACAGCAACTATGCCTCGTGGACAAACGCTAACTTTTATATCTTAATTTATTCCACTCAAGCGATCACGTTTTTCATCGATTTAATGACTCTTTGGAAAGTGAGGAAATATGTGAGTTTTTGCAGCGAAAAATTGTCGAACAAAAAGTTTCAAATATCTACTAGAAGTTTGATTAAATTGATTAAATCGATTAAATTCGTTTCAATCTTACATTTGTTGACCCAAATTCTTAGATATCTTTCATTTCTATGCCGATTTGTAGCACTTATTTCAGACTCAATCACATCCCACAAAACGTCGTTCCGACATTCGACTCTCCATCATGGTTTGTGGGGATTTTCGATGGAAAAACTCATTAACTACCCAACTAACCAGCCAAATTTCAGCTATTCACCAATCACTCAATAGCAATTTCTTTTTATTTGGCAAAGAAAATGCTGAGTGGTTCGCTGGCACTCACTTATCTTTGCTATTTATTTCTCGAGTTGACGCCATTTCTCATGCACTGTTTGATGGGGTGAACACACTGATTTTCGACTAATTTTGACACAAATTTTTCATATCATAGCCGTTTTTTATGTTAGATAAAGGGATTTTAACGAGTGAATTCGTTTTTTGGACCAAATTGTGATTCTATATTAGGGTTACAATACAATAGTGAAAAAAGAATTGCTTAAATGACTTGCTACTTGTTTATCACTTGTTTTAAATGCTAATTTTAGTCTTATCGTCATTGCCTTCAATCTACCATCAAAAGGAGCCCGACTTGGTGTGGTGACGAGCAGCGGGAGCACGCATTAGCCGAAATAAATGCGAGTTCTGAGCTTTTTGAACGAGAAAATACATGTTTTTCTTTCATTTCAATTAAAAAAACTATTTATTATCTTGGCCCAGGTTTAACTTTTGTTGCAAAAAGCATCAAAAACATTCAATTCTGAAAACACACAAAATGAAGTGCCATCCTAGAAAGTAAAAGGTCTAATTTAGTGTTTTAGATATCATTTTACCCAAACAATCATCGAAATGCTGAATGAAGTAACAATAAAAGCATCACAGTAGAGGATGAAGTTGAGCAACAAAAAGCCGACTTTAAAAGCAGTGATTCCAGTCTGGAGGATGATTGTATGGAATTGAAATTTGAAATTCAATTGCTAGCTTGAGCGACTTTATTTCAAAGTTTAATGTTCAGAAATGATACCTAAGAAGTCTTGGTTCAAACTTGTATTCAAATCAAGCTATCGTAGTTATTCTAATAGTAGCATATGGGCTCCTATTTTTTTGATCACGCCTCCAATGTTGCATCTATTGAAAGCCGTGCTTATATTGGAATAAATAAATGAAAGCTTCTATTGGAATAAATTGATTCCAGTAAAGCTTTAAAGAGGGTCATTAATCGGGGCCGGATTTTGAAGAAAACGTTTGCTTGGTAACACTGTTTTTATATTTTTGCCAGTTATTATCTAAAATGGGCGAAAAAAACCCGACTGGGGTGATTTGCCGTAACTAAGCATAGGTAAAATGACAGACATAAAAAATGCCATTCAGAGCAATAACAAATCGATTATACCTGGCCATAACCATTTTGTAGGGGGGGGGGGCATTAATCGAAGCCGGTTTGTGTAGAAAACGTTTTCGTGGTAATACTAATACTTTTAGAGCCACTCAACACCTGCATAACAGTCAAGGTAAGTCTCAAAACAAAATATAAGTTTCAAAACTCTCAAGGAAATATTCGTGTCATTGCAGCATCATTTTTTGCCCTTTAGAAGCTACTGACATTTATCAATTCAAGATTTTCTATCTTGATAGAGAAAAAATATGATAAAACTGCTTCTAAAATATTGATTTATTAGTTTTTCTAGTATATGATCTTTTGTAAAAACAATTTTTTGTATTTTTTGTTATAATCTTATGCACCAATCCTAATTATTCCGTTTGAAGATGTCTTTTGGTGTTGGAGCTCCCTTTGCATTTGAAACGGAAGATAATGATGCATCCGAAATATCGATAAACTCCGAGGTCAACCTGAAGAACTTTTAAATTTGAGCGAAAATGAAGAAGATGAAGAGGAAGATTAGGTTTCATTGACTGTTATTATTATGTTATTTGTGTTAGCCAATTCTGTTCCCTTTATTGCTTTAAGTGGGCTAAATTTTGTATAAAAAAATAAATTTCTAGTCTCCTGATGTTCTCTGTGAAGCGAATACTGACCTACACCAACTTATGATAAATCGGGTAATCGAACAGCTCTAAAATACCAAGTTACGAGCAAATCACTCCAGTCGGGTTTTTTTTCGCCCATTTTAGATAATAACTATCAATATAAAAATATAAAAACATAGTATTACCATGAAAACGTTTTCTGTACAAACCGGCTTCAAACATACAAACAAAAAATAAATCAATATTTTAGAAGCAGTTTTATGATATTTTTTTTATGTTTTATGATCTCCAACACCAAAATGATCTGTTTTATGATCTCCAACACTAAAATGATCTGTTTTATGATCTCCAACATATCTTCAAACGGAATAATTAGGATTGGTGCATAAGATTATAACAAAAAATACAAAAAATTGCTTTTTCAAAAGATCATATACTAGAAAAACTAATAAATCAATATTTTAGAAGTAGCTTTATGATATTTTTTCTCGATCAAGATAGAAAAACTTGAATTGATAAATGCCAGTAGTTTCTAAAGGGCAAAAAATGATGCTGCAATGACACTGCAATGGCTGCAATGACACGAATATTTCCTTGAGAGTTTTGAAACTTATATTTTGTTTTGAGGTTTGCCTTGACTGTTATGCAGACATTGAGTGGCTCTAAAAGTATTAGTATTATCACGAAAACGTTTTCTACACAAACCGGCTTTGATTAATGCCCCCACAAAATGGTTATGACCAGGTATAATCGATTTGCCATTACTTTGAATGACATTTTTCATGACTATCATTTTTATCTACGCTCACGCTCCCCAAGATGAGATAAGCTTTTGCCTCATCTTTTTCTGTTTATGAATTAGGGTGAGCACTACAAATATAAAGGCAATGATGGATTTGATCCATAAAAACAAATCTCTACAGGAAACGATCGATCTGGTAACATGTGATGAGAAAAAAACAAGTATGAGATGAGAGTTTTTGTCCTTTACGACTCTCTGAAGCAAGTGTTTTTTTTGGTCACCCGGTTGAGAGGAGTTTTCTTACAATTAAAATTATAGAGAACTCTTCGAGCAAAGGACTGAGCAAAGGAAACAATAAGAGCCACGAAGAGAACGCAAATTTGAGCTCTTTTTCATATAATTTCACTCCTATCTCTTCCCAAGACATTCCCATATTTCAATTCCATTTTCGTCTTTTCCATCACTTGAGGAAACACGTCGTTAACCGTTCTCTTCTTTGCACCTTTCCCCTTTTTTCTTCTCCGAAATTCGAATGAATGGGTGGTTTGGGGGAAAACGAGCTGCTGAACACATTAAAATTTGATTAGTTCACCCCCTTGCTTTGATTTTTTTTTGCATTTTGCAGAGGAAAAAACACAACAAAATCAATTATGTAAAAATTTCTTGAAAAGGGTGTGAAAAGAATAGTCAAAAATGACGGCTAAAGGAGAATTCTCGAAAATTGTATTGTACTTGCTCAAGAGTAGACGGAGAAATGGCAACATTGTGAGATTGTGATAGGAAAAAATTAAAAGATTTTAGGCTAAGTGAATCATCGTCGTCACAATGCTTTTCAAAATTCGTTCTTCAGTCAAGCTTATGCACAATGTAAATTTCCCTTAAAAAATAGAATTAACTCACTTATTTATGATTAATTTTATTAATCGACTTGATCCACATGTTTTCAGCAGTTCTCCAAGAGGAAGTGGATGGTTGGTTGGGAGCTGTGAGAAGAAACAGAACCTGGACTTGGGTGGATGGTTGGTTGGGAGCTGTGAGAAGAAACAGAACCTGGACTTGGGTGGATGGCTCTCCGTGGGACTATGAATATTTCTACCCACATCCAAGTAAACAAAATAAGGAAGCAAAAACGTAAAAGTGAAACTATTTTAGGCTAAGTGAATCATCGTCGTCACAATGCTTTTCAAAATTCGTTCTTCACTCAAGCCTATGCACAATGTAAATTTTCCATAAAAAATATAATTAACTCACTTATTTATGATTATTTATTTACTTATTAGGAGCCATGATTTTCATAGTTTGAAAAGTTCTATGAATATTTTAACTTTTCAAGCTTTACTATTGAAGACATGTCAAAGTTTTTCACTTGCAAATAGGATTAGTAAAAGAGACAAATTTCCTGGCCAAGGTAAGCCAAAGCCAAGGTTTTGGGCCAAATAAAACGGTAAGGCTGAAACTCGAGACCATGAGCAATCGCAAAGCTATTGGCTTTGGCTTAACTAGCCTTTCTTTAGCTTTTCACTTTTTCCCTGCTTGCAAACTTTTTGAGTAGTTGGTAATTTTCTTTAAATCAACTCTTTAAACTTTCCTTTTCAAACCCTAGATTTTGACTAGGCTACAGTACCCTGTAATGCTGTTATTTTACAATGACCCAAGTAATGATACTTTTCTATTAGTTAAAGTAACATCAACTAATTTATCGTTAGAGATATCATGCATCTGGTCTCTGATTGTATCGTTGAATGGTTGAATGAACACACGTTTTCTGTCTCTTTTCCCCCTTTTCTCTTCTCCCACAAATCCCATTGAGAAGAGAAAAAAAAGGGGAACGGCCAACTAAAGAAAAGCTATTTTTGGAGCAAAGGATTTGTCTCACTAGACATCAAACAAAGTCTACTAAACTTGCTGCAAACATTATTTTAAATAATTCTTCAAAAACAAAACAATTTTTGTCTTCAGACATTTTGTGATAGAGCTTTATGTGCCTTTAGCTTTTTTGATGATTTAAAGAGTGTTAATCTAGCTATGTGCTTTGAAATTTCGAGACTTTCAATTCCAGACATCTTACTAGACACTAGACATTTTACCCAGAAGCTAACTCGATTTTGACCACACTAAACTTGTCCCTAAAGTGACTCGATTCCTTTTTCGGTCACTCGGTCGCATTTCGCCCTCGAAATTTCTTCAATGGTTCCATCAATTGAAACACGTTTTAGCCTATTTTGTAGAGGAGATTTACAACTTTCAAATAGTATATAACATTCATCGATATCAGGTTTCTATCGTTGGAAATTTATGAAAATGTTGAAATCTGCATTTCCTAAATCCTAATACTTAATTGTTGGCTACAAATGCTTTTGTAGTTGGCTACAAATGCTACAAATGCTTTTGTAGTTGGCTACAAATGCTACAAATGCTACAAATGCTTTTGCACTTGCGCTTTATGGCTGATTTTTGATGGTTTTGAGAGCTTAAAATGAATCGAATTTGATCATTTTCCAGAAAGAATCACAAAATGTACTTCATTTTATTAATAATGCATTATCTAGTGAACTTGAAGGCATAAACTTACTATAAATAAACACAAATAAGATAGAAACTTGCCGTTAGCGTTCAAAAGCCGAAAAATTGTTGTTTCACCTATTGGAAGTTGAGTTCTTTGCGGTAAAAGCCAATGAAGTCCCTCACCAAATCATTTCTACACATTTTCTTGAATCATTCTTCTTTAAAGTCTTCCTGATCTCATCATTTGAAGTATTTGAAAGTTGAGATGTGCCGATCACTTTCTGGGATACCCCTTTCCCTCCTCATCCCCTTCCCAAGGACCCCATTTACCTCTTCTCCCTTTATTTTCCCCCCTCTTCTTCATCTTTTTTTCATCTCTCCTCACCTC